CTGCGACCGGCTCCACGGCGCTGCTTTGCTGGAGGCTGCTGCGTTTGCTGGAGGCTGCTGCGTTTGCTGCGCTGGAGCGGGGGCGGCGGCAGGGGGCTGCCCTCGGCAACGAGTAGACTGAGGCGCTGCCGCCGATGACCGGGTGGAGGCAGCAGCTCAGTCTGCTTCTGTGCGCCGGAGAACTGCTGGGCGAAGTTCTCCACTGCGTTGCCGAAGAGGCCATTCTGGGACACAGGGGCATTTAAAAACCGAGTCTTGTCAGTCTCCCTCATGTTGGCAAGACACAGCCAGAGATGGCGTTCCTGGACCACCATAGTGGACAACGCATGGCCCAGAGACCGCGCAGTGACCTTCGTCACTCATAGCGTAAGGTCAGTAGCGGTGCAGAGTTCTTTGAGAACTTCTGGCTCATGCCCACCCTCGTGCAGGTTCTTCAGTGCCTTGGCCTGATGAACCTGCAACAATGCCATGGCGTGTAGGGCAGAGGCAGCTTCTCCGAAGGCCGCATAAGCACTGCCGATCAGGGCCGACGAGTACCTACAGGCCCGGGAGGGGAGCGACGGCTTGCCCTGCCAGGTGGCAGCGGTATTTGGACACAACTGCATTGCAACCGACCACTCCACCGGTGGGATCTCTGTATACCCCGCGCTCCCTCATTCTCAAACACATGCCAATGTTCATCGGCTCGTTTAGTTACACTAGAAGTAGATTGGCCTCTCTAAGCGAGATCCCAATTCACGTCGAGAGTGACCGACTGAAAGGGCACTGTTGTTTCATAGCGTTATGTGTGCGTTTGTTCTCTTAAATGTCACAGCTGAGGCCGTGTGAAATGTGCAGGGTCAAAAAGAGTTAAAGCTGTAAATAATGATGTAAAATAGGCCGATTGACAGGTGATATTGAAATGCTTTGCTTCTTGGTAAGAACGGGGACGATGTCTTATTAACCCATATTGCTTTATTGCAAGTATTTTTAATAGGGACTTCTTGTTGTTAGTATGGTGATTTTGTGCTGCTGTGAATCTGATGTTACGTGATTCCTCAAGTATGGCTTGATACCTTTTTTTCTGTTCTTTTCTATTCTGAAATATTGTCTCTTTGTTGATGATTTGGTGTTTATTGTGTTGTTTTACTTTGTGCATTGCTAACCAATTCATATTTAATTTTGACAACTAATATACCAATTTTAATACTCAATATTTGATATCTATGGAGCCCCGCACATGACAACAAGATATCGTGGGCACAAATTAAGAATTAATTCCCACAACATCCCATGTTAAGCATGACCATGATTTAACCAAAATGAGGAAACAAATTAATAAAGCATGGTCACGAATTAATAAATTCTGGACAGGGATTCTTAATTTGTGGCCATGATATCTATTTTTTTCTTCCACACATCGTAGGGGCTCTGTATACATTATTTAATATTTAAATATATTGGGCTTTTGAACTTAAAAGCAGTCAGATGTTAAGAATGTTGTCAAAAGGTAATTTAGAAATGGTCTCATAAATTTTACCTGACAGTTTCGGGAGTTTCATCCCAGACAGTTTCTTATTTTTTTTTTACCTCTTGCTGTTTAAATCAACATATATTTATATAGAAAACATTTATTTATATATATATATATATATATATATATAGAAAAGCTGCGAGAGGTATGCCCAGTATTTAGATTTGGCGTGTCATTTGGGATTTGTATGGTTGGAAACACAGAGTTCTCTGTGTGAGAGTGTGAACGCTATGACTGTTCCCACTGTATGGCTACTTCTGAAGTGTATTTTGGGAAATATGGCGGAAATACCTGGTCAGACCTGTAGGCGCAACATCTCTTACTAGCCCTGAATGAATCAACGCTTTGTAGGGCCTGTAAAGAAGCCTTTGATTTTTGCAGAGTTTGAAAGTATACAATGTGCTATTTGAAGGATATTGACCTACAAAAAGGATATAACATGACATAGCGTTTATTTTTTTAACCACACTTAGTTCTATGTCTCATTTCTGTCTCATAATGAGTAAGAACCTTTCTTCAACCACCAGGGCTCCCCTACCAAATCAATTAAACCTACAAAAATGGTTGGCAAAAGTAATTTTCTTAATTAATTGTTGCATTGACTGTTGACACACTTTGAATGACAGTTCAGAAACACATCCATGTTGCTAAACTGACCTAAACGGCCAGGTTGCTATCTTAATTACTATGGTGTCTGTGAGGTGAGGTGAGGAAGTAGTGTGTTGTGTTGGGTGTGTTGCCTGGTTGCTCGGTTCATGGCTCTACGCTTGGGTACATCAAAGTTCACTGCTTCTTTTGTTTCGAATTTGGTGTTCGCCACCATTGGCTCTCTCCAGTTCTGTAATTAGAGCAGTTAAGTACAATTAAATGACTGAGGAAAATTGACCAAATTCGCTCATTTTGTAAAGCTGAGACTTTATGGCGCTTAATGACAAGTTTCCTACTGTGCTATGTTGCTATTTGAACAGTTTGCTGTATGCTCATGCTGGGGGTCTGCATTTTAAATAGTTTTTCACACTCTGGGCCTTCAAGACAGCAAACATTTTTAGTACAAATCTGAGATGTTTTCGAATGACTCATAGGTCATTAGCGAAAAGCTGTTGCTATTGGTTCATGTTGTTTAAAGATCTTGGTACATTACTGCATGGATATTCCATAACATTTATCTGGGTTACAGCATTCTTTGTATCGCAAATATTGCGTTTGTGACAGTAGAGAGAGACCTGCTGTAAATTCCACATAAAACAATTATTTTAAGTTATCTAGCAAACATATTTTACAATAGCCTATACATTGCAAGCATGTACACCACGGGATAAAAACTAAGAAAGGCTATTTTATTTTTATCTCTCAATTCTGAATTTTTTTCTCACAATTCAGAGGAAAAGAATTGTAGTAACCTTTTAATTTTTTATTCCATGGCAGAAACAAGCTTCTATACAAGTCAGATGTAATTGCATTACTGCAAATCCCTGAGTGGGCTTGATGTTTCTAAATTATTTACTTAAGTCTGTTTGAATTGATTCAGTGCTAGTATTAGACAGGCTTTCATGCGTATCTTACTCAGAATTAGTTTTGCAGGGTCCAGGGAGTTGTTAAAGGTGCGTGGGTGACAAATGAGTAATGGTAATATCTGTCACTTTTATTCAGCCATTGGCTTGATCTCCCTGTTTTACCCTCTATCTTGGCACCAGACTGTAATGCCAAGCTTGGTTTTTGGGGCCAATCCTGGCTTTCATGGTCTGGTAAATGTACTGTATGTAATAGGGCAACAGGTGATAAATGCAAACATGGCTTGGAATGACATGATTGCAGCAAATGTAATGATATTGATTGCTTTTTTAGTAAATTATGATTATTTGTGCATGATTTGGATGAGATATTAAAGGCTTAGTTCACCCAAAGATGATCAAAATGACTCACCCTCGTGTCATTCCAAACCTGTATGACTTTTTGGTAAACAAAACATGATTTTGTTTTAATGAAACTGAATGAAAGCTAAGGCTGTCAAGCTACAAAATGACTTGTGGTCTGAATGACTTGTGTGCTATATTTCATTTCTTCTGAAGTCATTTGATAGCTTTGTGTGAAGGACAGGTTACAATGTAAGGTGACTGTAGTTTTCCACTGAAACATGCTATAACTGAATCATTGACTGAGTTGAACTTAAGAACTAGATTTGTAAGATCTAGAAACTGAATTAAAGATTCATTGACTCAAAAGAAAAATCAATGTTTCTTTTGTGAACTTTGATGAATTCAGATCTAGGGGGATGTCAAGATTTTAACTGAACAGCTACTTAAATTTCAGCCTTTCCTCACATAAAGCTATCAGATGACTTAATAAGTCATTAATTTGAACCACTTGTTAATGTGAAGCTTGAAAATGTGAAGCTATTCTCATCCACTTTCGTTGTATTGAAAAGAGGGCCAGGATCTTCTTCACAAATTCACATTTTGTGTATCACGGAAGAAAGAAAGTCATATAAATTGACATGGGGGGGGACATTATATTCTTTTAAATTCTTATTTTGTTTCCATAAATCAAATAATAAAAGTATAAAAGGTGGTATTTTGTAATAAGGAGGTCAGGTGGGCACACTTTACAGAGAACGGTGTAAAAATACACACACACACAGACACACACACATGCCCCTTACAAGTCCAAGCCTGCTGTTTTTTTTTCGGGGTTGCCTTGCTGCTAAATCGCAGTCTGTCTCTCTCTCTTTGTGACAGTGCCAAGGAAAGACCTCAGGTTCCAACACATCCCCCAGATCTACTTGTGGACTGTACAGTAAAAGTCATGCATGTTCCTCGTAACAGACCCGGGTCACTCTGAACCACCCCAGCATCTGAACAGAAAGATCTGGATCTGCCAGTTACAGCCCATAAAAGACATGTGGCCTAAAAATGCACAAATGTAATCACTTAAATCAAAACATCATACAGTAAATTATGTCTTTTATCATCCAGTTGTTGATCATAATGCAAAATGAATGTATGCTAACGTTTGTGAGGCAACAATGGCGAGAAACAGATTCCACTCATTTGGAAGAAAGATCATGCATGTGTTTTTTATAAATATGTGTTTAACGTATTGTTGACCAGAAGGTTTTATGTTTTGTTGCCTAAGCATTGTTAAGCAGGCAGCATTTTAAATGAGAGGAAACTTCCTTTGTGGGTTTCTGTTACTAGGTGTTTCATGTTTTATTTACCTGCGTATAAAACAGCAATTTCCTGAACCATCTGACCTGCGTTCCTCATTGTGAAAGTGGTTGGTGATTTGTTGTTTTGTTGCCTTGCCATTCCAACATTGCCTGTATTTCCTGCAGTAGGTATTTTGGTATTGGTTTTGACCAACCAGGATAAGATGGCTTTGTCATTTTTTCATGCAGAAAATATATTACATAAATGTGTCTCAGTACTAATAACAGAGGTATTTTTTGGCACATGTATCTCATGTATCTTCCTGTCATTCGTCCCCTCAGGGTGATATCCAACAACTGCTGATTGTGGCCGACCCTAAAGCAGCTTACGACTACTGTGAAAACTACAGCCCAGACTGTGACGTCCCCCACAAGGACACACTGCAAGCACAGGAGCCCGGAGAGGAGGTTAGTATAGACCTTTTGCGCTGACCAGCAGAGGAAATGGTCTTTCCTGCAGTATCCAGGAGACCAAACGTTTCTGGAAGTCTGGCACGTTGTTGATACTTTTGACGCTACCAGTCAAATGATTGGACACACAGACCCATACTTTATTGTTGTTTTCCACCCACAGGTTTGAATAATATACAAGTCATCAAAACTATGAAATAACACTCAAAGACAAGAATTATGTAGTGGCCAAAAATGTTAAATGATCAAAACTTTTTAAAATTAAAATCATACTTTGCTACATTATTATTATTATATATTTTTTTATTATTATTTAACAAATGAAAGAATCAACACATCACTGTCAGGAATGGTCATTATGGAAGGAAATTTTCTCTCATCCTTCAAATATAATAGATAAAATAATCATATAATATAATGTATAATATATCATTTACACTATAGTTCAAACGTTTTGGGTTGGTAAGATTTTTTTTATGTTTTTAAAGGTCTCTTATGCTCACTAAGGCTGCATTTATTTGATCAAAAAAATACAGTAAAAACTATGTTTCACTAAGTAACATAGTGAAATATTATTACTATTAAGACAACTGTTTTATGTTTGAATATTTTTTTAAATGTAATTTATTCCTTTAATGGCAAAGCTGAATTTTCAGCATCGTTACTCCAGTCTTCAGTGTCACATGATCCTTCAGAAATCATTCTAATGTGCTGATTTGGGGTTCAACAAGTCAACAGTTGTGCTGCTTTATTTTTTGTGGAAACCAGGATTTTTCAGGATACTTTGATGATTAGAAAGTTCAAAAGAACAGTATTTATTTAAAATTGAATTTTTGGTAACAATGTAAAAGTCTTTACTGTAACTTTTGAACAATTTAATGCTTCCTTGATGAATAAAAGTATTAATTTCTTTCAAAAACATTTACTGACTGAAATTTTTGAACGGTAGTGTACATAAAAACATATCAACAGGTCAGCCACACCTTGCCACTTCTGACCACTGTGATGACTCCTGTAAACACAGACACCAAATGCAAGTCATTTTAACCAATTATATCCTGCTGAACCAGGGAGAGGGTCGTTTCCTGTATGTGAGAAATCAATAACCCTCTTTCTCCCATCTTGACTCGGCGAGCGTGTGTGAGATGCTCTGCTCATAAATCATGAATGGTGTCCTACTCAACTTGATCACCAGCCATGGAAGAGGGCCAAATCATCAGAGCAGTGGCTGTTTTATGAGCTCTTATGCCGTATGAGGATTAACCAACCCAGTCTCATGGCAAATATGTACCTGGGGGCACATTTTTGCAAGACGCGAAATACGTACCAATAAGTACATATCACTGCAGTTTCCAAAAAACTGAACACTAGAGGCAGTAAAACTCCGACACCTTTTAAATTATTTTCACACAGAGTATGATTTACAGAGTTTCGATTAATAAAGCGTAATTTTTGCACAATTACTTGAAGAGTATTATGTTGTGACTTCAAAACATTTTTAATATGCTGGGAGATTTGAAAACGGATGCTTTTGATTGTTAGCACCGCACATATCCAGCTTCATATCAATGGGTTTTCATAGATGATAGGTTTGTTCGGTAGCTCACGGAGTACGGAGACGTACTTCAGAGGCGAGGAACTCTGGTTTGAATCCCATGTAACTACAGTTCAACAAAACAGTTCAAATCTGCATATAAGGAAGTTAAAATGGCACGGTTGCATCAAAAAATGTGTTTTTATATCAGTTTTGCATTTGTTAACACTATCGGGTAGGTTTAGGGTTGGGTTTGGTGTAGGGCATATTTCCAACACGACAGAGCGTTAACTTTTAGCGACAGTCCCCGGATATTTGAATTCTGAATCGCCGCAATACGTACCTGAAAAACGTAATAAAAACACAGCAATACGTACCTATATCAACGTAATAAAAACGTGCCAGGGTTGACGTATTGAACCCGTGTTTTAGCACCACTCAGTGGACATTTCTCTTTGAAACTGCGGCGAAACGTGCTGTAAGGTACGTAAAAACAGTGTTGCAGAAATGTACGCAGAGGTACGTATTTTTATGAGACTGGGTTGCGATTAACATACAGTAAACTTGTGTTTGATGGATGAAGCCCTGGAGAGCCAGACTCAATGGCTTTATCGGCCTTCCTGCTGTCTAACAACCGTTATTTGTAGTGAAGGAATAGAAACAGAGAAGCTGCTACATAAACTTTAGCAAAAACCATTCATCCATTCCATTCATTAAAATGTGTTCATCATAATTAATGAATGCGTATATAAACTGACCTTAAATGGCAGAATCGAATATTTTTTTATTAATATTAACCTAATTTTAATATTAATATTAACTTAATATTCAAAACTTAACATTTAACATCTATACAATGTATGATGCCAATTATAAATTTTGTATGTACATTTTTTTGTGTGTATAAAATCCCTTGTCCCAGCACAAGTTCCTACTTGACACATGACGTGTTATAGCTAATAGGACTGTGAAATGTGTTAGAAATAATAAAATCAAATAGATTTGACTCTTTCTATAGATCTAAGCAGCAAACACATGGCTGTTATCTCGGCTTCAGACAGGCAGGGAGTTTTTTTATAGGGCTTTAAACACCCACCTGTATATCAGAACATGTACATTAACGTAATTAATGCAGTATGTTCTTTATATGCTGAACTCACACAGTAGAGAGTAACACAAACATAATAGTTTTCCTTCACTTTACGTTTTTAGTTTTAACATCGCTTACTTTAATTGGACGCATTAGCAACAAAAAATGGAAAATATGCTGTTTATGATAAACCTGTGTCTAATTCATCTGCATTGTATAAAACCAGCTATACAGTACACCTAACCATCAAAGTATGTAATGCACCCAAGGGTAGATTACATTCTACATGAAGTTTGTATGCTTTGCTAACCTCTCTCTCATCCTCTTCCTGTGTGCAGTACACAACTGCTGTTGAATACGGTGATTTATATGATTATTATGAGGGAGCGACCCCCACAGCGACAGATGAATATTCTGAGCCGCAGGTAAATGCAGGAAACGTGTGATGTGTTTGTAATGTCAATCATGGGGTGGCCCCGCCCCCTTTCCTTGACCTGTATAAATTACATGGGCAAAAGTATGTGGCGTGGGCTTTGTCTGGGCCAGTCAAGTTCTTCCAATCCGTTTTCATAGAGGTGTCCTGTGATGCTAACACTTTGGTACGCCCTATACTACTGAAAATATGTGTTTAAGGAGATTATATGGTTGTATGCTAGATTTTAAGCACCTGTTAGTTAGCTTAAATAGCCAGACCCATAAATTACTGAAGCAGTTCACATACTTTTGCCCATGTAGTGTATATTTGTCTGTCCATGTTGGTAAACGCAATCTCTAGTGTGTCTGTACTGGGTTTAATAATAATAAAGAGATATTCTGTGAACTTAGGAGTCAAATGATGGCCGTTTTTTCGAACATGGGTCGCTTTGATTAGTTTTGAGATAACCGTTCTTGGAAGCAAGCCTGAAAGCTTTTGAAGGATGGTGTATACCAAGTTATCCTGAATTTAACTAAGAAAGCCATGTTTATAAAAATGGGAACTTATTTATATTCTAACACAGATATTTTGATGTGTTGTGTCTTTTTCCCTTCACCATAACCTTTTTCCAGAGAGTGAAACGTAGTATCTCCATGAAAACGAAGAGGACGAGAAAGTCCCCTAAATCTTTTTCCAAACCATATAAGTACCAGGAGCCAAAACAGGCTAAAAAGTTAGCCCCTAAGAAGAAAAGATATGGATACCTGCCACCGCCACCAAGAAAAGCCATTCTAGGGGTAATAGTACAAGCATAGCTCATGTCAGAATCCATCAAGATCTCTCTTTCGGTGAGGGTGATCTTTGATGATAGTCTGAGCGTACCGTCCGCCCCCTTTCTCTAGGTGCCGTCCTCGTGGATCCGGCCTGAAATGCTTGTGGAACTGCTTGAACTGTGTTAATTCCTCCTTTCTGATCTTCTTCCTCTTTTCTTCTCACTATGAATCTGCTGTAGCCTAACAATGTAGATGGGGAGTACTATACAGACAGTGAACTTGACTACGGAACAGTAGATGCTTCCAAAACTCAGTCTCCTGTCGCAACCACTGGACCAAACCAGGTAATCATTTGATTATATACTATGATGGTAGGGCAACTAAAATGTGGGACAGAAATGGGAAAAATCCAGGAGCACGTTTGACGAGGAAGTATTTGATATGAGATGACAAAAACAAAACAATTCATGGCAATTGTTCTGTTTTATGACTCTGGGACTGTCACTGCAAGGGAACTGTTTTATCCAACAACATAAAGCTGATATTCACCATAAAACTGCCAAGTTCTAAATTTAGCCAATCCACTTCCTGTGATGCTTTCCGGTCTGAAACTTTGGACTTGTCTTGAATATCAAGTAGATATTTCTTAGTGGATTGTCATGAAGTTGGTTTTCAGCTTTCTGTTGTGGATATCAATGATATTTAAGGCTGCATTAAAAAAAATCAGCAATTTATGAATGTGCATCCATCCTATCTACATTTAAAGCAGTGAATTGATCACACAGCAAAACTATATATGTTTGTCTTTTTGGCAGGAGTTTTGGAATTGGTTGCTTAGATGTTGACTGGTTGCCCATTTTCTATGCCTAAATATCATTGAGAAGATAATTTGTCCCATTCCAAACAGTTCCCTCAGTAAGTGACCCAAAGATGAGGACCTCTGATAAAGAAACATAATTAGGTTGAAGGTTGAATTTGATCTGTTCCTGCATTTGATCACATCATTAATGCATTAGTGTGTGTATTCATAAGCATTATAATGTCATTTTAGACTTACATAATTTATTTCTGTCTTCTTTTTTCACCTCTAAACATAACATGTTTATTGTGGCAAAAAGACAGGAATATCTTAAAGTCTATCCTAAACTTCTATGTGTAATTATTAAATATGTAAATATAATGCTTTTTATATAATTAAGTTAACACTTTATCTGTCCCCCAAAATTTGAACACACATTCATAAAAGATACAAAAAATTATTAAGAAACGTTTAAGTGTTGAAATATACTTTTTAGCATCTCATTTGCATATAACAGCATTTCTATTAAATCAGAACTGTTTTTATCATTCTTAACTGTTATAAACATACATTATGTGTCTTTATACATGCACATTGCTGATTATATCTATCCATTAATGTAACTTGTATAATGTTGTGATTTACTTAACCAGATCTAATTTGTGCCTTATATTCTCATCTCACAAATTAATCCAAATCCTTGTATCCAATCCAAATCATCTGATATATTTGCATTGAATGAGACAAAGAAGTGTTACCTTGTGCTATTTTTAATAAATATATCTTATGAAATAATTTTTTCTCCTGCTTTGCATTAGATACAGTAGTATTTGCTTTAACTGCTTAAACTAACATCCATCTTCCCTCCGTTGCTCAAACTCCCTCCCCCTCTGCCCGGCCGCATTGCTTGGGTATAATAAGGCTGTGGAAGAGGACGTTTTCAGTGACTATGTCACTGAGACACCCCAGGCTGGTCTGGATCCAACCGCTGCCCCAGAGGCCGCGCTGCCCAGCAGCACTGCCGACTCCATTGGAGTGGACGCGTATGACTTTAAGGAGTATGATCTTAAGGAATATGATGTGACTGGGCTTGACAAAAATCAATATGAGTATGGGGCGTACGATGAGTTTGGCAATGTGGCTCCAAACCCTACATCCGCTTACGAGGACAGTTTTGGGCCAGGGGTTGCCGCAGAAAAAGATATCGCTGAAACAGAAGTGACGTTGGACGTAAGTACTGACCCCCCAAATGAGGGTGTCGCCCAGTACTCGGATTGTTGGATATGGGAATCTAGCATGCATTGTTGGCTTTGTAGTGCACTATTTTGCATGGGGTCCATCCATTTTTTTTTGTTCGGTGCGTTGGTTTATACTTACCTTTCTTTACTGGATGTGATTAGCATGTTTTGAAACATACAGACCACTACACTTCTTCCTCTTGTGCGTATTGGTTTTCTCTCCCTCCCGTCTCTGTGTACGTTATAGATCACATCGATCATATAGTCATTCACAGATCACTTACATGCACACTCTCATACCAACTATGGTTTGAACTCTCTGACTGTCAGCGTCTTATCTCCCATATTGCCCCGGGATACGGTAATTACCCCATACCACAGACCCAGCTGTCTGTTCAGACACACCTTTCTCCACCTCCTCCCACTTAAGAAGCTCATACTTCCCCTCCGTCAAACACTCCAGCACCTGTATCTTACAGGTCACATGAGCAAAGGTTTGACAGCATCAGATCCTGTCCATTACATTGCAGGTTACACAGTTTCCATCTTGTTAATCTCAGACGTCAATAAACACCTAATTTGCAGCTTCTTGATAGTTATTAAGGTAGTTGTTAAATTGTTAATTTTCTGTTTGAAATAAGATTATTTTGCTTACCCCATTGGCAGATTATTTTGCTTGTTTCAAGCAAAAACTCACTTAATTTTGACTTGTTTTTTTTTTCTGAAAACAAAGCAATAATTTTTACTTGTCTAGAAAATCCTTCTTGATTTAAGAATTTTTTGATATTTTGGCTGGAAACGACAAAACATCTAAGATAGAAAAGCATTTTTTTGCAGTGTGGGGTTGGATTGAGGGATCTAAAATATGATATAAAGGGATCTAGAATAATGCTTTATAAGTACTAATAAAGAGCCAATATGCTAGTAATATGCATGCTAATAAGCAACTAGTTAATAGTGAGAATTGGTCATTAAAGTGAAATGTTACCGAATTTAGCATCTTTTTTTAGCACTTTTCATATTCATATGTATTTTTACACTGCATACACTTAGCACTCTGCACCAACATTAACCCTATCTATCTATCTATCTATCTATCTATCTATCTATCTATCTATCTATCTATCTATCTATCTATCTATCTATCTATCTATCTATCTATCTATCTACCTATCTATTTGTATGTCTATATCTCTCTCTGTATCTCTGTTGTTCTATCTATTATTCTATCTACTTTATCTATAGTTCTATCATTTGTTCTGTCTAACCTCTGCTGTATGTTTGCAGTTGGGTGGCGGTGCTGTTCTGGGTCAGAAGGGAGAAAAAGGAGAACCTGCAGTGATTGAGCCGGTGAGTGATTGAAAGCTAATTCTGGGCATTCATCACCTTTGGAACAACATTGAGATTAGTTTATAAATATTCATTCATTCATTTGATGCTGTAATTTGTTCTGGTCAGTTTGTTTTATTCTGGTTTTGTTGTGATTCATATATAGGGAATGCTGATTGAAGGACCTGCTGGACTACCTGGACCTGCTGTAAGTTACCTGCATTTTTGCCCTCATCAGTAATTGGGTCATCATTGTGCTCTGGTCTGTCTGTTTACTCTATTTTATTTTTGTCTTTAGGGTCTTCCAGGCCCTCCAGGTTTACAAGGCCCCCCTGGTTCAGCCGGAGATTCTGGTGACAGGGTAAGAATTTGTTCTAGTCTCTGACTCCAGGCTATATTTACTTATGCCAACCACAGGTATTTTCAGAACATTAACAAGGTTTGGTTAAGGTTTAGGTCTTAATCTTTCTTTTGTCATATTTTGTTTTACAGAAATGTCATTAGTCACTGAAAAAAAATCTACAGTTATTAAGTGGGAAATGAGGCATGTCAAATGAAATCTGTGATAAACATAATGAGACACAGATTGTCTCCTATCAGGCTTGAGAAAAACTTGTGTTGGAGACTAAGCAAGAAAGGCTCAGAAAAACAGTCTAACTGCAGGACTGTATGAAAATGTGTCAGTAAACAAAACATAATACTAATTTCAGGTGTGAAACCCTGAGTTGCTTTATTTAGAAACACAGATTAAAGACAGTTCCCAGTCAAAGCATGTTCCCAGTAATTCAAGTTACTTCAGAATGAGCAGTCATTGTTCAGTAGGCAAATCGGACAAAATTTCTGATTAAATGCAGCACGCTACCCTCAATCTATTTCTGTATGCAAAATACATACATTGCTCACAAAAAAACATCTATTGCCTTAAACTGTTTGAGGACAATTATCATTAGACATTCCCAAACCAACTCCAAAGTCTGTCTAGGGTTCTGATGTTAGGTTTGTATTATGGGTAATTTACATCTACGTAAATACACTCTCTAACAGAAACAATACACACACAAGAACGCAAATGAAGAAACTAAATAACTTGTTTGAATCAGAATACAGTTAATTTTATCAGTGAAAATAAAGAAAAGATCATTACAATACAAGACTGCTAAACCACAAAAGGCAATGAAATGCATATCGATATAATGTGAGATCTTGAGTACTTCCTGTTAATGATTTTGTCAAACTAAGACCTGTACACTTCAGGTTGTTTATTAGTGTTATTTAACATCTTCCCAAGCTAAACTTGTAGCAAGAGTGAAACAGTGGGATAGTTTGTTGTGACTGGACTTGGTGGAGACAACAGGGAACCATCTGGACAGGGATATGAAATGTTGTTTAGGCAAGAGTAATTATTACACAGTAATATCCCCCAGTGCTCATGAGCTAGAAAATGAAAACAATCAGTATCTTTAAAATGGACAACTTCACTAAAGGGTAATGGAAGTGAGAGGGTCTCTCTATCTCTGTTCGATCTCCCTCCCTATCTCATTCCTGTCTTGGCATTCTCTTACCTGTGTGTTGTCAAGTCAAGAAGTGTCAAATTACTGATTTATCCCTTCTCTCTTTCTCTCCCGCTCTTCCTGCTTCCCCAGGGTCCGCCCGGCCGTGCTGGTCTTTCCTAGATGTGTCATTTAAAAAGCAGACAAATGAGAATCTTCACGTTTCCAAATGGTTCCTTATAGTAGGGTGTACTTTTAGAAATAAATGCAAAACTCAACTCTCGAATTATCTTTGAAATAAGTAAGAAAAAAACTAGGACAGTCTGTCTGGAATTACAGCAATTTCAAAATCAACAGTTGCTTTTCTAAGTATTCAGCTTCATCTGGTGCTGTGCTAAAGAAACAGCACAATTCCCTAGTAAAAATGCAATAACTAGCTTTTAAAACAAATCCAGCTCATTGTGTCAACTACATTAACTTTAGTATTTTTATTCAGGGCTTTGATTCTCCAGGAGAGTGAAGAACGGGAATTGTATATGCTGGGAAATATTGCCACCTGCTGTTTCTTTGTATATAGTGCAGGCATTTCGATCTTTCTGTAACTGTGTTAAAAACATGTTGGTTTGGTCTAGTCTTGGTCTAATACATCTCTCTCTGGTGTCAACTACATTTAGGGTCTACCAGGTTCTCCTGGACTGAAAGGAGAGAGTGGAGACCATGGTCCTCAGGTAAGACAGCATTTCTCACCACCCAAGGTCATCCTACCTAATTATCTACTTACTTACTTAAATAATCATATATCTTTCCATCATAGGGTCCGAGGGGTATCCAAGGCCCACCAGGGCAAATGGGAAAACTTGGCAAGAGAGTAAGATATTTCTCTTTATTTTTCACACACACAAAAGATTATTCATTTTTGCATTCACTTGAATGAGTCTTCGGTTAGCGTATGAACACATAATGGTTTCCAGTAGTCATATCTTCTCTGATCTTTCTGTGACAGGGTCGTGCTGGAACCGATGGGGCCCGTGGAATGCCTGGAGAATCTGGATCTAAGGTACAAGAGATATTCTCACCCACATATATGCCATATGCGAAATAGTACCTATAAATATATTGTTTGATTTTTTTTTTACCTCATCTTCTTCAAAGGGTGACAGAGGTTTTGATGGGCTTCCAGGTCTGCCCGGTGAGAAGGGACACAGGGTGAGTATGAATGCATACAAAACAATTCAACTGACAAATGCAGTAAATGATCAGGCTGTATAGAAGGGGCTTTGAAAAGTAGAAGAGATTCACAACTATTTTTTCAGAGCAATGATTCACAACAATATGCTAATTACTAAATTATCTTTTAGGTGCAACTCCTATTTTGGAGGGACATGTGGTAACTCTGTATGTTGTGTTAAAATTAAATTAATAAAAATACTGGACAATTTGGACAATTAATATATATTGTTACATATTAAATAACTAAATATAATTTAAAACAAAAAAATAAATAACATAAATTAATTGCCGCAAACAAGTACATTTTATGCTCTCTAGTTAGCATTTGAAATCGTATTTTTTAGCAACTTTTTTTCAACAACAATAATAACAAAATAATAGTATCCTTATTGTACATTGGAAACAAGGGCGTCAAACATTAGCTGACAATTTTGTTCTTCCTTGTACTATGGATATATAATAAATAATGATACCGAGAAGAATCATGAGCACTTCCAACGTGAAATGAAGAGCCTTCTACTCTGGAAAATCTACAGTAGGGTATTTCCAGCCTTTTCCCCTGTCAACACAGGTAATACTAATAGGATCCAAAATGGCTCCCTAGATCACTTTCTAGCAAAGGTGAAAAGATTATATATTAAGTTGGATGTAATAAAGTATGACTGTCTCTTTCTGGCAGGGTGAGAACGGTCCTCTTGGTCCCCCTGGACCTCACGGAGAGGACGGACCAAGGGTAAGTGCTTTTCTGAATTAACTGAAGAAACGTCCTTCTCATCAGTTTCAACTATTAGAATATCCATATTCTCTTCACTTCTTCACTTCTTCCACCTTTACAGGGAGAAGATGGAGAGATTGGACCAAGAGGACTTGCTGGTGAAAGTGTAAGTGTGTCTCACCTTGTATTTTTTTATTTTTTTATGTTTTATTTCCAGTTTGCCACCAGAGGGCAGAGTCACTCAACAGCTTATCATGATTCCTATTAAAATTCAGAAGAGAATACTTGGTCTTTTTAATCAGAACCTTCTCATTTCTTTTTATCTCAGGGGCCACGAGGTCTGCTCGGCCCTAGAGGCCCTCCTGGAGTTCCTGGACAACCTGTAAGTGATTTTTAATTTAGAATCGTGTGGATCTGATGCTGATTGCCCACTTCTAATCTTTTACAATTGATTTCTGCAGGGCATTGCTGGTGTTGATGGTCCACAGGGTCCCAAAGGAAACATGGTAAGAGACATGGATCTCGTAAACCTGGCATTTTGTTGATAAAATCAGTGTAGCTGATGCTGATGATAGGCTACTTGTTGAGTGGGTTTTACACATGTTTCAGCCTTTATGTATCTATACTAGGACTACTGTCAAGTTTAAATTTCATTTCTTACTGCCACAGTGAACGAATAAACCTTGTGTAACAAAATAGCTCTGAATTTGGCGTCAAATCTGAAACATCTTCTGTTTTCGGAACCACATTATAATTAATAAAAACAACAGTTAATTAATCTATGTATAAACGCTAAGTCGTGACCCCTCAGATATATTCAGGAGCTTTTTTTTTCAGAACTAAACTGATATGCCATGAAAAAGAGTGTTTCAAATATATGAGGACAGTTTAATCATAATGTAGCACTGGCATTCTTGAAGCTGACACGGTATAACAGCCTTTTTTTCTGTTAACTTTAAAATTAATTTTGTCCATAAGACATTTTATTAGCATTGTGTTCACTGTATTAGCATTATATTCACATCAGCAATCAAAGCACATATGTCAGCCCACATAGAGATATATAGAACATTGCTGGTGATTTGACATATTTAGGGTGCAGTTGACATGTACCATCTTTTTCTGTTGAACAGGGACCCCAGGGAGAGCCGGGCCCTCCTGGTCAACAGGGAATCACAGGAACACAGGTGAGAACAAACACAGACACACTTTAGACACTGAACCCCGGAGGTTTTACTATAATAAGGCTTGAGGATTGTTTCTCATGTGCAAGATACATTTTGATTGACTTTGGATCAAGCAATCCCATGTCATCTACATTTTCTTTTTATATTAAGGGTTCCCATGGTCTTGGAAATGTCAAAGAAATTAATCAGATCATGAAAAAGTAAAAACAAATGTTAAAAAGGGGCACCAATAATTAATATATATTGCTAAATAATAAATAATACATTATTTATATAGATTATGTATTTTATTTATTATTAAATACTCAAATATCTGCAATATATAATAAATTAAATCATTAAAAAACATTCACACACACACACACACACACACACACACACACACGTGTGTGTGTGTACAAGAACAAAAACTAATAAAAATTACAAAAACAACAAAATTAACATGAAAGCAGAAATTCTAAAAAATAAAATCTAATTTAAAATATTATCTAAAATATCTCAATGATTCTAAAATAATAACAAAAAAAAAAATAACAAAAAAGCAATATAACAAAGAGTGAAAAATTTAAGGGGGTCTGAATACTTTCCGTACCCACTGTATATATATTTGCTTTACAAGCTTAAATATTTAATTATTTGATCAACTGAAATCTGACTTATTATTTAACCCAATTCGTTTAACCAATTTCTCATCCTCTCTATCATTTTTCAATCTCAGAGGGCACAGTGAAATTATCTGAAATATTTCTGTAAGCCTCTGCTGGGCTCATAGGAAGTGGGCAGCTGAAAGCATCTCATTCATAACGCCCCACCTGCAGCGGTCGAATCAGAGCAGTGAGCTCAGATTTCCCTGGAGTAAACTCCTGGTCAGCACATACACAAAAACACTGAATCAGCCACTGTAAACACACACATAGTAAACACACGTGTGTATGCACACACACTCAAGCACACTGTGCAAACATGAGTGACCCTGCCAACACACACACACAGGGACAATACAATAAGTCCATTATTGGGTGTTAGTCATCAGTTTGGGCTCCTCTCTACCACACACCTACCCCTCTATCTCTCCCCGCCCTGCTGCCATGGCAACAAAGCTTGACATTTGCTGTCTGTTTTCTGTTGTGCAGGGTCTTCCAGGTCCACAGGGCCCCATCGGACCGCCTGGAGAAAAAGTAAGTATTTCGTGTTTTTCATGCATATAATTCTCAGGAGTTTCCTTTAAACAGATTGAGACCAAAAAGAAAGATATGTAACATATCATGGTGATATAAAATTGTTGGTTTATTTATTATTACACAACCCTGCACCTTGAAAAAAAAAATCTGCTGAGAAAACTTAGCAAAAAAGTCCAAAATGATGCTAAGCTAAAAAAAGAAGAAGAATTTTTCAAATTTATTCAATGCACTCATAAAAAGAAAAAAGGTCATAAAGATTCAGTTTTAATGATAAAAAAGTATTCATAATACATCATTTAATTTATAATCTGCGAAGGAGTGTAAAAATCATAATGTCTTCAGAATCATTTATATATGTGAAAATCAGCTGATAATTGAACAAATAATAGTAACTTGGCTCTGAGGAAGCTAGGAATCGTGTATTTGTTACCGTTTTTCTGGTAATAAAAGGATAATACAAGACTTCTTCACCTTATAAATGGTAGTCAAAAGCAAAAATGCTATGAAATGTATTTGAGACATTTATATTTTTTTGAGAAAGTGTAACATGCCAGAGCAAAACATGCACTAATTTTGCAATCAGCACCCTGAATTTAGTAAAAAGCAAGTATTTGATTCCATTCCGCAAACATTCTGCAGGCGGTGTTATCAATCACTTATATTTATATTTCTTGCTCTTTTGCTTTGGATACACAAATAAATTCAAAATGAGCTTTGGTGCAGGATAGATGTGACTTAGTCTCAAAACATCACTGGAGCATGCATTTATTTCTGTAGCATTCATTTTCGAGCGTATTTTATTTTTCATGATTCAGTGCATGTTATTTCCTGTAGGGCATCTGTGGTCTTAGAAATTCTTCTTAATCCAATCGAAGTTCTTTTTCTCTGTCTCTTCATACAGGGTCCTCATGGAAGGTCTGGTTTGCCTGGATTGCCTGGTGCAGATGGACCTTCTGTAAGTATCAGTGATACTGATATATCAAGTGATTCATGTCTGCTAAACTACTACATATTTCACAGCCTATTGTCTATAAATTGGACAAAGACCATAACTAATTGTCTATCTTACACATTTTGCTTGCTGACATAATTGATAGTATAGAAGCATCATAGCAAAGATGCATGTTGAATCTGCAGCTCAAGCGACTCAAAACACAAACTATTTATAACAAACTTTGAGAACTATAGCTAATGTCACACACTAAAGAGACATACGTCTTTCAGCTGTCACTTTATATTAATTATCTGTATTTATTCTACAGGGTCATCCTGGTAAAGAGGGTCCACCTGGAGAGAAAGGAGCTTTGGTAAGGAAACACAAGTTTAGGGAGCATTTAAACAGAATGTGTACTGGTCGATCAGATTTATACAGTATATGTAATATTATTGTATTATGGATTATTAATAAAAATGTATTTAATTTTGGGATTATGCTAATGCCAGGCAGCTAAAAAGTGGTTAAAATTGCTAATGCTAATTGCTCCCTGATGCAAATGTGTCTTGCAGAGCATTTGGTCTTGATCTTTTAGCTGTCTGACTAAAGTAATATTTGTCCCTGACTATGGTTTTCTTCTTTTGACTGTTTAATTCAATTTCATATTTTGAAAACATTGTTTGAAAGTATCTGATCGGTGTGTTTAGCTAACCTCAGCCACAGATATTTGTTGTTTGCCGTACACATTTCGTAATTTTTCAATGTGTCATTATCAGGGCCAGACCGGTCCCCAAGGCCCCATCGGCTATCCTGGTCCTCGCGGTGTGAAGGTAAGGCATTTTTTGTGTTTGATAGAGATTTATTGGTATGCATTGAGTTTTCGATCTTTGCTTGATCACATTCTCTCTGTCTTACAGGGTGCTGATGGCGTCCGTGGACTGAAAGGAGGCAAAGGAGAGAAGGTATGCAAAAAAACACATATTTTTTGAATGAGGCAAAGGAGAATTTATCCACACTATCCACTAGAAGTTAATGCTTGTACTAAGAATCATTGCAATGACACTTACTGGTCACTAAATCTGCATAAAAAGAGTCCAATAGCCACTACACATTCTCTCCACTTAAACATCATATCATAAGTGCTGTTTAATCATGCAGAGAAAGTGTCATAACACTTATTCAAGACACAAAATCACTTCATCACCATTAACTACGTCCAGATTGCAGTCGGCTGTAATTAACAATGTAGAAAAAAATGTTTGAGAATGCCACTCAACTGAGGGTGGGATTGATACTGTAGTGCCATCATAACAAGACTGAGTGTCTAGCCGTGTCCATATCCAAATAAATAAGGCATTAGTTGAGTCGACAATGCCGTCAGGTGGTCACAAAGTTGCAGAATGCATCATGCACATGTAGGCGAGAGATTCAGACTGATGTTTAGTGACAGAGAATGAGAATGAGAATTCAATCATAAATCAACACTATGAATCATAACAGTTAGCATACCTTTAGATATGTGCTCCATTTTAGCTGTTAGCACACATTTAGTCAAGTGCTGTCAGGTAGTCACAAGTTGCACAATGCATCATACATGTGTGAAAGATTCAGACTGATGTTTAGTGACAGAGAATGAGAATTCAATCATAAATCAACACTATGAATCATAACAGTTAGCATACCTTTAGATGTTTGCTCCCTTTCAGCTGTTAGCACACATTTAGTCAAGCGCTGTCAGGTGGTCAGAAGTTGCACAATGCATCATACATGTGTGAAAGATTCAGACTGATGTTTAGTGACAGAGAATGAGAATTCAATCCCAGATTAGCATACATTTAGCAGCTAGCTTATTTTTAGCCATTAGCACCCATCGAGCTTTTAGCACAGGTTTAGTTCAATTTATTCCATATATGTAACTTCTAGACTGAATGAAATCATTGACCGTGTTGCAGTACTGCATTATTGTCAGCAGGTGGAGATCTAGTACAATGCTAAAGAATTAATAGTGCTGTATTTATATGCAGAAGTTATAGCTTCATCACTCTATATGTTTTCCCTAATGTTTCATCCTACTTTTCAGGGCGAGGATGGTTTCCCGGGTTTCAAGGGAGACATGGGTCTCAAAGGCGACAGGGTAAATAAACAGTGTCCATCCTAATTTTATCCCATGAAGGGCCGCACTGATTGGCTGGATTTCTGTGTATGTTCAGGGTGAATTTGGATTGGCTGGACCCAGAGGTGAGGATGGACCAGAGGGCCCGAAGGGTCGTGCGGGTCCCAACGGTGAATCTGGACCCCTGGGACCTGCTGGAGAAAAGGTACGCTGCTTGTTAATTACAGATTACCATTATTAGTTGATTACCAATGCATAGGGCATCAGGAAGTGATGTGGGGTTTGTGTTTGGAATATTACTATTATCAAATGAGATGTTTGTTTGTCCAGAGATGTTCTTGCACTAATGATCCTTGGCTTGTTTTCCATCAGGGCAAACTTGGTGTTCCGGGATTGCCCGGCTATCCAGGACGTCAAGGGCCAAAGGTATGCACTTAAATTGAACATGACACCTGTACCTGCATCACAATTGTTTCACTTATGAGCTAAACAACAACTTGGCTCATTAGCATGAACTAATGCCCTCCTGAGAATGCATTATGCATGCTGCACTGAGTGAGACTTTTTTCAAATGAGCAGCTCATGCCAGGATTGTTCCCTGTGCTGTTGGGGATGCTGGTCACGCAGGCAGTGAGGAGAAGTTGGAGCACGGTTGCCTGTGTCCGACCTCAGTGCCTTTCATCAACAACAGCATCAGCTGTAACAGCAGTACCCAATCTGGCTCAAGCCAGCCCCAAACTAGACCTTAAGTGGCCTTGGAGGTCTGGAGACCTTCTATGACAAACACTGGTGTCATTACAGGCACCTAGTTGGTACAACTGGGAAGACTCTGAGTTTTCAGTATACAGTTTGGTATGTTGCTTGGTAAATTAATATGGAGTGCGCTTCACAGTCATTTATGATTTATAATCAGTATTTTTTGTGTCCTAAAACATTCTAAAATAAGATAAATATACATGAGAATTAAAACTGCACAAGATAATAAAACTTGTTTTCTTGGAATATAATTTTTTTTTAATTAAAATATATTCTTATGCTATTGGAAGATTTTTGCTGCATCCAAAAATGTGTACTTTCAGAATGTGATTAATTTAATGAAGTTAAATTTGAAACTTAATTTCCAGCCATTAATGAAAGCTCCGTCATCTAAAAAGATATAACGACAACAATTCCAAATTCTGTAAATATTAACATGTATGAATTATTTATTAACATGAATTCTTTTATTTGATTTTATTTTAGAATATGTACTTTCAGAATATGTACAACTTAATGAAATTTTCAACCACTGATGAAGGCTATTTTTGGAAATAAATACATTCCTTGGTATTGTCACTAAAAATATATTATAAAGACAGTGTCAAATTCTGTAAATATTATGATTTATTTAGTATTTATGAATTTATTCATTTTTCATTTAAATTTAATTTAAAATTTCACTTTTTTCCAGTATTTTTCTCTAAACTTTTCTGCAGACCACCCCTTTTAACATACTGTATTATTTAAGTACACATATTGGAGGTGTTAGGCTGTCAAAACCTTATTCTGTTTGTTTGCATGTGCCAGTTGACTCGACACAGGCTCCACCAATTGTGTCAGATTTTGTTTGTCTCATTCACTATTTTTGCAGTTAATTTTGGTGCCGATAGTGGAGTAGAAATGACACCTATCTTGAATTTACTTTAATTAGATGGAATAAAGCCCAGTCCTAGCAGAGGTGCTGACTCCGGTGGTAAATTTACAGTCTCGTAAATTCGCTTCTATTTAGCAGCATTAACGAACGACAGACAAGTGATGTGATTACAAGCACTTTGACATGCCATCATCTCTGGAATGGATTCACACAGCCTGCCAACTCTCAAATTATCATGAAGTGCACTTTTGAAGACCAGCCATCACTGTCTGAGTGGTTACTGGCGTCAAAGTTGTGGCATTTTTTATAGAGTATCATTGCTTATTCGTCATTGTCTCACCTTTACAGTTTCATAATATGCTTTGTGGTAAATCAAACCTGATTTCTGCAGGACCCGACTCTGAGGCCTGGCCTTAGTATGAATGTGTAAAACAATCTATTGATTTTCTTTCTTGAATGCTTATACCGCTGCCAGGATTGAGGAACGTGGGTAAGCTGTTTTTAATTTACTGCATTGAAAATGAGAGAACGAGACAGACAAGAGTTGAGAATGAGAGCAATTAAGACTCATCAGTAGTGACTCTTAATATTAACTCTGTTTGGTTGTTTATCTGACTGAGTGGCCATTTGTTTTCGTCCAATGTCTGGATCTCTGTCCTCGGTGGACCCTGTTGTATTTCCGCACTGACAAGCGATCCCTTCCTGAAGCTCTCCTGTGCTTAGTCTTGTGCAAATAAAACAAGGAAACTGATCATCGAGATCGGTCTTGTTTATCTTGGGATATATCATAAGCATTCAAAGGCTATCTTTCAACCGCTGAATTATTCTGAGAAAAAAGCTTGCCAACAATAGGGACAAAGCAGTCTCACAGCTATTTAAAACTCTACTGTGGGAGTAGCAAAGCCAAAGATGCTAATGCTAACAGATTGTAACATAACTGTCAGAATCAGCAGGAGAGTCGGAACTCTTGGAGTTTATCCATCATTAATATGCAGGTCCTGCTGCCTTCTCTTCCTCGCTTAAGTCGTTTTCTTTGATTTGCAGGGTTCTAACGGTTTCCCCGGATTCCCAGGAGCCAACGGAGAGAAAGGAGCCAGGGTGAGATGGATTCTTCCAACCTGCTTTGTGTGACGTGCACACTGCATTATAACAAACATATGAAAAAGGCTGATTGATTCCTTCTATGAAAGGATTTGTATGATGACTTTGTACAAAAACACGGACACAAATCAATATGTGACTACAAAAGATGCTGGAACGATTGCGTTCATGGTGATTCAGCGACAATCACGCATCTGGAAAACCATTCACTTGCAGAAGTGGGCAAAAGTGCGTGAATACGTTGGGTCAAATGTCATCTGAATGTACTTACATTTACACTCACCTTATGGCAACCTTTACATGTATATTGTTACTTACAACCTTTACATTTGCCTTTGCATTTACCTTTACATTTAAGTTCATTTTATGTGGTATGCAGTAAAACTGAGGTAGTGTTATTAAATTTGATCCACCGGTTAAAATGAGACCTGTTAAATTTAATCCTGGCTGAAACTATTCAGTGCCTGAATAGAAATCTTTAAAAAAAATAACTTTATGATATACAGGTGTGTGGTCTGAACAATGTAATTATCTCCATAAATGTCTTTTAAAATATATTTGACATGTAATAGTATATATATTTTTTAATTAGCTTTCCTTTTTTAAGCTACCATTCAATGTACTAGTTTAGCATACCACATGTCGATTAGCCTACTAGCTTAGCTCATCACATATGCAAATTATGTTTTTAAATTACATTATATTTTGTTTAGTTTCATTAAGTTATTACTCGCAACACCAAAATTACCTAATTTAGAGAGTTAAAAGCATGTTTTCACTTGTTATAATTAAGTAGGTAACACTTTATTTCGATAGTCCACTTTAGACATTCTATTAACAGTAAGTAACTTTGCAACTACATGTCAACTAGCAGTTAGTAGAGACTGTTTGCTTAATATTTTCTAACACTTTCTTTGTCGACTTATTCTACTAACCCTAAACCTACCCTAACAGTCTACACTGAGAGTTAGTAGACATGTAGATGCAAATTAATGAGAATTAGTTGACATGTAGTTGATATGTAGTTACAAAGTTACTTATAGTTAGAATGTCTAAAGTGGCCTATCGAAATAAAGTGTAACCTTAAGTAGCATTGTTGTGCTAAAGCCTTCCATAAGAGAGCCTGCATTTTACTATGTCAAAATTCCGCTTAGATTCACATTTTAGATATATTTTGTTTATCAAAGCAATGGATAAATACTGTATGTTTGTGACTATTTCATAAACAGAATGCTAAAGATAAATTATGTTAAGTACTGAGTCTAAACCTACTCTTACGAACACAAGTTGCACAATGCATCATACATGTGTGAAAGATTCAGTGCAATAATCTGTGCAATTGGTGCAGCCGCACCTGGCCCCGCGCTTGAGGGGTCCCGCGGCGAACGGACCTATGAAAGTGTCTCACCCATTAATTCAATGAGAATCTCACTTGCAAACAAACCTCATAGGAAACCTCTTAGCAAAAGCAACTGTGCCCTAAGCATTTATGATTATTCATAACTAAATGTCAGGTTAGCTGCTATTTTTCCAAGTGTTTAGATTCTGCTCATGAGCAGGGAGCAAAATGACAGTGTATGTGTGTATGTTTGTGTGCTTCTAATACACCTACACCTCATCTGAAACAAATATTGCCATGGCTCCTAGAATCCAATGCTTGTTTTCCCCCGTACACACTGCCATCTCATCTTGGCAAAAAGAATGGCTACAACTGCAGCAATTGGATTTGCTGTGTGTAGCTATTGAATTCACCCTCAATTTTTACCACACTCATTTTTCTTCTTTCTTTTCAAAGGGAGTGGCAGGGAAATCTGGTCCAAGAGGTCAAAGAGGTCCGACGGTGTGTACTGCTTCAGCACTTCACCATCCATTTTTATTTAATTTTGCTGAATTTAATTATGCAAGTTAAAGAGTCTTAAATATCCTGAATTTTTAGGGTCCCCGTGGTGCACGCGGTGCCAGAGGCCCAACAGGAAAGCCAGGCCCTAAGGTACTGCTTCCCTCAGGCTTTGTTTTTGTCAAACACTTCCGTTGCACAGTCCTTATGCTTCGCTCTCTCATTATCCAACAGGGAACAGCAGGCAACGACGGTCCACCTGGCCCACCCGGTGAGAGAGTAAGTGCCACCCAGAATGCATTGCAACAAACATTTTTATCCCATCATTCTATCTACGGGGAGATGGTGTACGGCTTGAAGCGCTCAGAGAGGGTGCTTTAGCAGGAAGCACAGTGAGGATTAGCTCAGCATGTGGGGGTACTCCAGATAAGAGGACTTACCACCAAACCCGTGTTTCCGTCTGGAAGCTATTATAGATTTATGAAGAGCTCTTGAGCATTAGACCACTGGAAGGCTGTTGTCCAAGGCTCACATCACTCGAAATCTGATGTTGCACTGTTTATCTCTACCATGAAATCCTGTTCTCGTTTGGTCCTCTATTTTTCAGTATTTCCTGTTTATTCCAGTTCTCAGTTGGAATCTGAAAGTCTTTTTTAAGCATTTCGAAAGCCTGTTGACTATTCCTACATTGCACTTAGTTTCAGCTTGTAATATTTTATTAATGTTTTGTTTTTGTTCATATTTATAAATTCTCCTTCCTTCTTTGGACTTTTACTGAGATTATAAGACAAAAGATCATCAGATAAATATTCACTTCTTCTAGTTCACATTTCAGATATTGCCATTAAACCATCTGCACTGCTTTGTTGTCTTATTTTTTAAGTAAAGCAACAAACTTCTCACCAAATAAATGTATTTTCCTGTTTTGTTCAGGGACCTCAAGGGCCCCAGGGTCCCGTTGGTTTCCCAGGACCGAAGGGCCCCCCTGTAAGTACCTGTTTATCTACACTGTTTTAGATGCTGAAAAATGTGCCATTTACTTACAGTACAGTACTTTGTTCTCTGTTTTAGGGACCACCTGGGAAGGATGGGCTGCCTGGTCACCCTGGCCAGCGGGGAGAAACTGTAAGTGTTTCTGATCACTCACACTTATAGATCACCCAAATAGCCTAAGCGATAACATATAGCAGACATCACTGATCACTTGTGGGAAGAGAGCATGTTCAGGGACTGAATGAGCCTCTGAGTTATGTGTAAATCTGAAGGAGTTATGATGTTAGATGGCGGTTATTTCTGATCCAGACAGAAGCTTTATTAATAATGGCATGGCCCAGTAGGAGATGCTTGTTTATCACATTTAAGAGCAATAAACTTAGTGTGAAGTACCGCAGCTACATTTTGCCTGGAAAACTGTCATATAAAATCTATTTTTACTTGATGGTCCACCAGTAGATAGTTGCTTTTCATGCAGAAATTGAAGTGATTTTTTCCCCTAGGGTTTCCAAGGCAAAACTGGCCCACCAGGACCTGGAGGTGTTGTCGGACCACAGGTAGGTGTTTATGTTTTTGCATGAATTTATATATATATATATATATATATATATATATAGTTTAGATAAGCAGAAGGATTTGCCTGTTAATCTCACAAATGTGTCTGTAATGGCTTGAAAGGGTCCAACAGGAGAAACCGGTCCTATTGGTGAGAGAGGACATCCTGGACCCCCTGGTCCCCCCGGAGAGCAGGGTCTCCCAGGTGCTGGTGGAAAAGAAGGTGCAAAGGTGAATGACGTTCATGTTTACATGACTTTCAGCCAGATAGAATATATAAGTGTGTTCAAGTTTTCCAGAGCAATAACGTCCATACTATGGAAAATTGCTGAATTCCCTTTCTTAATAGAGTCTAAATTGTTAGTAGACGTGGCTTTTAAAGGCTGAACTGAATTTCAGTGAGTGTCCAACCTTCCTGTCTCAGTTGCAATTTCTGCCACTTCTAAACGGAGACACTTTAATCAGTTTGATCGGCCCACTTCAGACAGGCTGTCAGACGTGAGTGAACACCCCGGAGGCAGAGTATGCTGCCGCAGTCTTAGCGGTCAGACTCACAGTCTTTCTGCAGTCATTTTCCTGATTTCGCTCATTTGTTTCCTCTTTTTATTAGCTGAATATAACACTTTCAGTGGTCCAATCAAAATTCAGAGACACTGAGGTCAAGTGGAGGTTTTTCAAAAGGCTAAAACAGTGTTAAGCTTTCTAGCTATTTTAAATATCAAAAATCACTCTTGAGCCCCTCAGGCAGGCCTGTCTGATTGCAGTTTACTGTTCGAAGGCACTTGTTGGCCCCTCAAGACACTTTAGGATTCTTAATACTTGTTTTAGGCAGGCTTGATTTAATTGTGCTGAAATATGAACTGTCGACATATCAGTGCGAAAACTTTATTAACAACAATTACCTACCAATAATGTACACTATCGTTCAGTCATTCGTGCTGTTTTCATTGTATATTTTATTAAATGCAGCCTTGGTGATCCAAGAACATTAAAAAAAACTATCTGACACCAAAGTTTTGAATGGTACTGTACAAAATTTGGTCTTTCAGTTGCAATTAGCATAATTAACATAAGATGGACATGTTAACATATTGAATGTATTTAAATGTTGTTTTCATAAATTTTAAAGGGTCCTATTCCAACTTGATTCCCCCAAAAATGTGGGCTAAAAACTTTGTCTTGGTCCTGCAAATTTTAGCTTGTTTGTCAGACCAGTGTAATGGATGGATTGTTCAAAATCTATTTGGAAACATGTTTCATTATAAAGAATTTACACACTGCAGTTTTAATCATGCTGTGGAGTCAGATTAAATATTAATTGAATCGACCTGCCAGCGCTAGCGACGGTGGATTTGAAGCTAGCAATAATTCAGGATCATTTCATCAGTTCAGAGCTCATTATCATCAGCTGCGAATTCATTTTGTGTAATTTTTCTGTTCATTATATTTGAAGTTCAATAAAATATTAAATTGGCAACTGTCTGTCCGCAGGGAGATCCAGGTCCTCTGGGCAGTCCAGGAAAAGACGGTCCTCCAGGACTGAGAGGGTTCCCAGGAGAGAGAGGTCTTCCTGGAGTTACGGTAAGATCATGCTCCCGTCGCGAATAAATCACTGCAAGTAGATTCTTTTTTTTACACTACAGCAGCCCTGACTTATTACATCCACAGAATTGGACTTCAATACACTGCACAAAGACTTTAATAGGGTGTATAACCTCTAAAAAAGCTAACTTTGCATTGTTTAACGCAGAGATACATTATGCTAACTTGACTGTGGTTCACGTTTTTCCCTTTATCACCTTTTGTAGTGCCTGGGTTGTTGTCTTTTACATTAATTATCTGGCCAGAGAATGATTTAAGTGGAAATGTTGGCAATTAGATTTTGGGAGACGAGGTTGTTTGTTCATTGTTGATGTCTGATCTCAAGGTCAGTGGCAGAGACTGGCTATCCATGCTCTGCCTGGTTGTTTTCTACTGGGGCGATTTTACTGTCATTATTGAGACCACCGTGTGTGTCTGCCCCTTAGAGAGGCAATCTCAAGCCCTCACTCACAAAACACAACAGCACCTCCATGAGCCCTGACACACACACACACAGATGCACCTACAAGGACGTTCATGAAACATATACAACTACATGATATTTTCTATTAGTTTCATATTAGTATTTAAGTGTAGTTTATGGAACCAAAAGTTCATTTACATGGATTCACAAATCTCCTCACACACACACAAACACACATGAGAGCTTTTGTCAGCTCTTTGATTTTTACTGTGCCCCAGTTGACCTGTGAGAGAAAAAGAGGCCAGTAAATATCAATCAGGTAAAGGCAGAACCAGCAGGCAGTCGAGATCTGTGGATTTCTCTCTCATACGGGAGATTAATAACAGCCACATTTAGAAGAGACCAAACCCGCTGTCAGTTTGTGCTGTAAGTACAAAAATCAGTTTAGAAGCAGTAGGACTCAACAGTCTTTCATGACTTGGGTATAAATTATAAAATCATAATTTCTTCATTACATAATTTAGCTTATTTTCTGAAATACTTCACATCCTTCCAAAACAAAAACAAAAAAAAGTCGCAGTAGGACTCAACAGTCTTTCATGACTTGGGTATAAATTATAAAATCATAATTTCTTCATTACATCATTTAGCTTATTTTCTGAAATACTTCACATCCTTCCAAAACAAAAACAAAAAAAAGTAATCTCTGTCATTAGTTACTTACACTCATGTCATTACCAACCCAGTATGTTCGTTTTTTTAGCCATACAACTATACAAGCGCCAAAACGCACAATAAAAAGGGGTCCATACAACTTGTGCACAATATTTCAAGTGAAGAACAGACTGAAATGTGTCATAATCTACTTGTGCAGCAGCTCTTGAACTAGGGCTGGGCGGTATATCGAGTTTGTACGATATATCAATATTTTCTTTATAAGCGATTTGATTTGAGGAAATAGTTGTAGTTGGACGATAAATCTGACATGTAGAATTATAAACCTACAAGTAAGTCTATTTTTATGATAGCACTGACTGTAAAGTGACTGTAATGGGGTAACCATCAAAACAGCCTAACACAACTGTGCTTTTGTTCTCATTTAGTTTAGTGAATTTAACTACGTTTAGTGAATTTAGTTTAGATTGCAATGTTACAATGTTAGAATGAAATGTGATTCTAACCCTTTTTTTGCACATAATATAAAAGCTTACATGGTTACATTCACTTTATTTATTTTCATAGCCTTTCATGTGTTGGATAATGCTCAAGAGAAAATTACTAATGCTGACACTTTGATATGAACCTTCTTGTTAGGCCTATTTACTTATTCATATTTTGTTCTTCTTTCTCTTTTGCCCTCTGCAGGGTCCACCTGGTTTGAAAGGAGCCGAAGGCCCTCAGGGCCCCCCTGGTCCGGTTGTAAGTACTCTGTTTCCATGGTTTCCCTTCATACAATGTGAGTAGTTCATTCTCCCAAAAGCAACATTCAATATTTAGGAGTCTGAGAGGGTTGTGGAAGTGGTCAGGAAGATCTAAGGCTCAAAAACACCATTAAGGATTTTTAAAGTGTTCTTCACTGCCGAACATATGCACAAACAAAGTACAGTACATGGCTGATTCATAATCTCAATAAATGAGAGATACCGAACCGGACAGTTGGATCAATGTCTCTCACAGTGCCTCGTGCAGTGGCATTAGCTAACACTAGAGGGTGTGATGGTGACCACCAGAGTGTCTCGAGATAAATTCACAGCACCGGTTTGTAATTACCTCCTCTTGACATTTTATACCATAGCTATTCACTTATTCACTTTATTTATTTTCATAGCCTTTCATATGTATTGTTTTGTTGGACAACATTGGGCGGTAAGTGAAATATATATATATATATATATATATAAAATACAGATTTTTTAAAATCCAAATGCAAAAATGAAAAGACAGAGATATATACCGTATATCGCAAATTGGTAAAAAAAAATAACGAGATATGAATTTTTGCCCATATCATCATTGGTATGACCTCAGAAGATGAAGACTTTGGAATAAAGAATACATATGGACATATGCATTGTGTTTATCGTGCTTTCATGGTGTTTTTTTTTACTTTTTGGGACTTGACAGCAAATCTATGTAAAGATTCTTTCAAAATCAAGGTTTCCACCAACATAAGAGTATTTTCATTTTTTGGTTAGCAATTCCCTTTAAGAAAAAGCTTAAAATACTGTTGGTGAAATCTGAGAGCTGCATGAAATTGCAGAATAGAAGTTCATAGGAATTCATTAGAGCATTATCCTTTCAGGATTTTGTATTTCCCACAGTGTTCCAGGTAATATTTGAAGCAGTTAAGTTTATGAGCAAGAAATAGAGCATATGGAGTCATTATGATCCTTGACTCAAAGTAATAATTCATCTAGTTAGAAATTTTGTCATCTCAAAAATCATTTGCCCTCATGTCATTCCAAACTCTTTCTTTGTTTTATGTAATATCTAAAGAGAACTTTTCTGATGTTTGCTACTGATGTTTTGCACAAAACCCAATCTGACTTGTATGCTATGTTCCAATATTTCTAAAGCCATATGATAGCTTTGTTTTAGAAACAGTCTGATATTTAAGCCATAGTTCTCAAATCTCTTTCACGCTTCCATAGATTCAAACTTGGCATAAGAGATGCCTAAAACTAGTTTTAATGTCAATAATGAAGGCAAACACCATTGGTTTTTGTACACCTTGACAGGTCACAACACATGCAAGAACCGAAGTTTGAAAAAGCAAAACTACAAGCACTTTCAGTGTGGATTCTCAAAAGCTTTCAATGTGAAATCTCCTATGTGTCGGTCATGTTGTGTGGTAGATGTATTATCTCAGTTATGAGCTACAGGTAGATTTGTTTGCTCAGGCACGGTGCACTAAAACCTACAGTACATGTTTATATCTGGCTTTGAGCATCAATAGATGATGTGTTGGATAATGCTCAAGAGAAAATTACTAATGCTGACACTTTGATATGAACCTTCTTGTTAGGCCTATTTACTCATTCATATTTTGTTCTTCTTTCTCTTTTGCCCTCTGCAGGGTCCACCTGGTTTGAAAGGAGCCGAAGGCCCTCAGGGCCCCCCTGGTCCGGTTGTAAGTACTCTGTTTCCATGGTTTCCCTTCATACAATGTGAGTAGATTTGTCGCCCAACAGAAAGTTTTTTTGTTCTTTCAACAGCTCCCCTCTTAGCTGTCGCCGTGCCGTTCTGATTGTATAATTCTCACCACACTCTGTTGTACGATGTTTGTTGCACTTGTTAGTCGCAACGCATTGCACAGGTTGTTTGGACAATTTCATCCTAATTTGTTGAAGACCTTCTGTACTGTCCCAATGCAATGACTTAATTAGCAGTGTTTGCAAAAGGTAAATATCACTATCAGGTGCATAAACTGTCCCTTATTGTTTGTACCACAGACATACTGTATGAAACCACACATTTATTGGCTTGTTGAGGAAAGTTGTAGGACTTACGATATTTAAATGGGTACTAAATCCCATAGCGTTGCATTAAGAACATGCAGAACACCTTAGCAACCGCACATCAACAGCCTAATATCCACAAAGCAATATGTTAAAAACACTGAGAACTCCTTAGCAGCTGCATAGCAATGGCCTAACATTAGCATAGTTGCATGTTAGAAACATCCAGAACACCTTAGCAACCACATAGCAACACCCTAACATTAGCTTAATAATGGTAAAAACCATCAGAATACCTTAGCCACTGTATAGCAGTAGCCTAACATTTGCATAGTAGCATGTTAAAAACACAAAACTCATTAGCAACTGCATAGCAACAGCCTAACATCAGCATATTAAAAACACTCAGCTTAGCAACCACATATTAACACCACAACATCAGCATAACAACATAAAAAGCAATCAGAACACCTTAGCATCCGCATAGCAACAGCTTAACATCAGCATAACAACATCAAAAACAATCAAAACACCTTAGCAACCGCATAGCAACATTCTAACATCTGCATAGCAACATGTTAAAAAACACTGAGAATTCTTTAGCAGCTGCATAGCAACAGCCTAACATTTGACTATAAACATGTTAAAACACTCTGAACACCTTAAAGGGGTCATATGATGCTTTCTTAAAGATCACAATTTTGTTTATTTGGTGTAACAGAATATGTTGACATGCTTTAATGTTCAACAAACACATTATTTTTCAAATACTGTACATTAATATAGGTCCTCTAAAGTCTCTCCTTTCGACAAGCGCAGTCTGCTCTGATTGGCCAGCTGACCCAGTGCATTGTGATTGGCGGAACACCGCAAGCACTCGTCGGAAATGTAACGCCCCTTACCATAATCGCGAGCTTCATCTTTCAAAATAAATGTAAAGACAGAGCCTGAAAGGGGAACAGAGTCACGTGACAGACACAGTGATGAAGCTGGTATGTGTTTGCAGTACACAAGCCATGGTTAAGACAGCTGACTCCACTTTGATGTGACGCTCTCTCTCTCTCTCTCTCTCACACACACACACACACGATGCGCAAAACTCCACATTTGAACAGTCAATAGCAAATACTTAAACTAATAACAAAACAGTAACTGATTCAGAAGCACCAGATTGTCATAGCAAATTCAGAATTACCTTCTCTTCTAGGTTCACGAAACGGTCGTCCATAAAATGCATTGCTGTTCTGTTGTAAGTGATCTTAAAGATTCCTAAATGCATCTACTTTCGGAAGGCCAAATAAAGTGCTTTTACTTTCGCCTAGAAACACACAGCGTCTCCCTGACATGACTGCTTCAACACTAACTGCGGTTACTGAAACCACGCCTTCTTTCTTTGCGTGAACATTTGGGCGGCATTATGCAAATATTTCCACATAGTGAGGTAGATATGTGGGGGCGTGTTAGAACGAGCCGTTTTAGGGGAGTGTGGCAGAGTCTTAACTTTGATAAAGAATATCTCTTTGGTTTTGAGACTTTAGTCTTTGCAACTTCAGGGATCTTATCTATGCACAATCAGCTTGTAACACTCCAAAGAGAAAGGAAAACTTGAAATCGCATCATATGACCCCTTTAACAACCACATAGCAACCCCTTAACATCAACACAGACATCACAGACATCAGCAATTATGGCGACTGGACGTTACGTTAAACACGTAACCTTTACAAAGAGCTAGCTTTCTATGTTTGTATGGAGTTATGTATGCAGTCGACAGAAGAAAGAGTCTGAAAATTGTCTGAAATGTCTTGATTTTTGGGGCTAGAGCAGAATCATTCTTAAGCAAAAGCTCCTCATTTGGATTTTCAGCACTAAAAATACATGGTTTGGTGGTCGTTTGGGAGAAACCAGTTTAATCCTTAATACGTGACTAATAAGGCTAGATCTTTAGAAGCATATTAATGTAGTATATGCTTCAGTAAATCAGACTTGTGTAGCATGTATATGTCTATAGAGTATCTAAGTGTCAAATATGTTAAATCACTCTTTGTCATAGGGTTCCCCTGGTGAGAGAGGAGCAGCAGGACCTGCTGGCCCCATTGGGTTGTCTGGACGTACTGGACCCCAGGGACCCCCGGGACCTGCTGGAGAGAAGGGTGCACCGGTAATTGTGCTGATTAGATACAATGATAATCAATTTGTGTTTCTTATATTACATAAGACATTTATGAGTGACAGTGAATAGTTAGTAGGTTTCTTAGTAACCACATAACCTCCACCTTAGCACTATTTATATCTTTTATCACATGTCTTTGTTCAGGGTGAGAGAGGTCCTCCAGGTCCAGCCGGTCGGGATGGAGTACAAGGTCCAGTTGGTCTGCCGGGGCCAGCAGGACCTCAGGGTCCACCTGGAGAAGATGGTGACAAGGTTAATTGCAATTTTGATTCATGTTAATACATTTAGACAGTAGAGAGGGGACACATTACATGATGCTTCTCTTGATGTGTCAGTTAACGCAGACAATTCAAAGTCACCACTGCAGGACTGTAATGGATTGCACTTCATCTTAACTTTCATACTGATTAAATGGAAGTTTTCTGTCATCACTTCTAAACCTTCATTACACCGTGAAAAATAAAGTCAAGTAAAATGAGTCAAATGAAATAGCTTTCAGAGAATGTATTGATCTTATCCTATTGGCAAATAGATTTTAAGCATAAAACTCACTAAAACTTCTTCAATTTCTTCACTTTTTCCTTTTAAAAACTATTTGCCAGTGAGGTAAGAAAGAAAAATACATTTAATTCAAGAAAAAAAGTCTTAGTATCTTCTAAAGTGTTGTGTCTCAAATATTTTTTCTTGTTTTAAAGATTTTGAAATATTCTACTAGAAAACAAGAAAATGATTTCTCTCCTATCACTCTAGTATATCTCACATCTCTTCCCAGAATTCCTCGCCCTCACTTTTTGGACAGCGATCATTCTTCATCATCACAAACACACACTGCACGGCCATTTGAAACGCATGCCTATCTCTCAGTCACTCTTTGCTGCCACCAATCCATCATCATCAGCAAAGGCGGCCTATAATTAAATTAGCACAGGGTACCATAAACGTTGTCTCTCCATCAGTATCCTCTAACAAGCTTCATGGGTTTACGTGCCAAGAATATGTTGTAGAAATGCTTTATCTGGCCATGTCTGTTAGTTCAGAGACAATATTTATAATTTCATTTGCAGTAAAACTCCCATGCAGGTCAACAGTAATGTCATATCTTTTACTGCACAGTAAACGGTTTACTTCAACATGGAGTTTCTTTCAGTTATATTCACCAGTCTGTGATTTTATACGTTATATAGTTTTAAAAAGGAAAAATGGATTTTGCATGACCCTTCCAGGGAGAGGTGGGCGAACCAGGCCAGAAGGGAAGCAAAGCCGACAAAGGTGAACAGGTGAGTAAATTAGATTGTAAAATCCTTATTTATACACACGGTACGATTTGCATTCAGAACCGATTTTACATAAAATACCATTACTGAATGATTTTCATGACATTCATTTTTTAAGGTTTCTTCCAATGGTTAAAATAAAAAAAAGACATTAAATTGACTTCTTTTGTGTTGTTCTTGCTGGTTGCATGCAACAACAAACATACAGCACAACCAGTATAGTCTGATTCCCAAATGAATGAATCATACAAACCGGTTCTTTTAATTAATTTGTCTAAAAGAATCATGAATCAGTCTTGAAAACATGTCAATCACTCAATCGGTCCATACTATGTCTAACTCAAAATTACCTAACTTAAAGGAATTATTCCCTCAAAGTGCTTGAAGAGTCAGTAATTAAATGATTGAGGAACCAGAATTGTTGAATTTCTTGAGATTCCCATCTCTTAGTACAGCTCTTTTCTGATCACTTTCTTCATTGTATTGTCCACTAGGGTCCACCAGGTCCACCTGGTCTTCAGGGAACTATTGGAGCTCCTGGACCTGCTGTACGTCTTGACTACACATCCAGAATCATTTCACATCTACTATTTCTGTCATTTCGAATTTAATGAAATGCATTGCGACTCTGACTTATGCCTATTTCAGGGAGCTGATGGTGAACCAGGTCCTCGTGGACAGCAGGGTATGTTTGGACAGAAGGGAGATGAAGGATCCCGAGGCTTTCCTGGACCTCCCGGTCCCATCGGTCTGCAGGTGAGTGCCAATGATGGCCCAAATATGAGCTAACATTTTTATTTTGTGTAGAACTGAGTTCCCAGTCCCATGGTAACTCAGACTAATGCTGCACAAACAACATTAACTGGTGGCCCTGGGCAGTAGATGCACTGGGAGGTGTTTGAGATGTGAATTGATTTCCTTTTGATTCCCCCTCTGCTGGAATCGCCCTGTGAATAAGTACAGACTCAGTACAGACATGCATGAGCAGGGCCCATTGCATTAACAGTTTCAATTTTGATTTGCTGGTGGTAATAATTACTACCAATTTATTTATGCTACTAATTGGCTAATTTATTCAAAGTAGAAAATATTTTGTTGTGCAATATCAAATAAAATATACAGCAGTTCTCAATTTTGTCTCGTCAAAGGCAATTTAAATATATTGAGTTCTGGCATGAAACTCTAGATCAGGGCTGTCCAAACTCGGTCCTGGAGGGCCGGTGTCCTGCAGAGTTTATCTCCAACTTGCCTCAACACACCTGACCAAAAGTTTCTATGCCTAGTAAGAGCTTGATTAGCTGGTTCAGGTGTGTTTAATTAGGGTTGGAGCTAAACTCTTCAGGACACCGGCCCTCCAGGACTGAGTTTGAGTAACCACATAACCTCCACCTTAGCACTATTTATATCTTTTATCACATGTCTTTGTTCAGGGTGAGAGAGGTCCTCCAGGTCCAGCCGGTCGGGATGGAGTACAAGGTCCAGTTGGTCTGCCGGGGCCAGCAGGACCTCAGGGTCCACCTGGAGAAGATGGTGACAAGGTTAATTGCAATTTTGATTCATGTTAATACATTTAGACAGTAGAGAGGGGACACATTACATGATGCTTCTCTTGATGTGTCAGTTAACGCAGACAATTCAAAGTCACCACTGCAGGACTGTAATGGATTGCACTTCATCTTAACTTTCATACTGATTAAATGGAAGTTTTCTGTCATCACTTCTAAACCTTCATTACACCGTGAAAAATAAAGTCAAGTAAAATGAGTCAAATGAAATAGCTTTCAGAGAATGTATTGATCTTATCCTATTGGCAAATAGATTTTAAGCATAAAACTCACTAAAACTTCTTCAATTTCTTCACTTTTTCCTTTTAAAAACTATTTGCCAGTGAGGTAAGAAAGAAAAATACATTTAATTCAAGAAAAAAAGTCTTAGTATCTTCTAAAGTGTTGTGTCTCAAATATTTTTTCTTGTTTTAAAGATTTTGAAATATTCTACTAGAAAACAAGAAAATGATTTCTCTCCTATCACTCTAGTATATCTCACATCTCTTCCCAGAATTCCTCGCCCTCACTTTTTGGACAGCGATCATTCTTCATCATCACAAACACACACTGCACGGCCATTTGAAACGCATGCCTATCTCTCAGTCACTCTTTGCTGCCACCAATCCATCATCATCAGCAAAGGCGGCCTATAATTAAATTAGCGCAGGGTACCATAAACGTTGTCTCTCCATCAGTATCCTCTAACAAGCTTCATGGGTTTACGTGCCAAGAATATGTTGTAGAAATGCTTTATCTGGCCATGTCTGTTAGTTCAGAGACAATATTTATAATTTCATTTGCAGTAAAACTCCCATGCAGGTCAACAGTAATGTCATATCTTTTACTGCACAGTAAACGGTTTACTTCAACATGGAGTTTCTTTCAGTTATATTCACCAGTCTGTGATTTTATACGTTATATAGTTTTAAAAAGGAAAAATGGATTTTGCATGACCCTTCCAGGGAGAGGTGGGCGAACCAGGCCAGAAGGGAAGCAAAGCCGACAAAGGTGAACAGGTGAGTAAATTAGATTGTAAAATCCTTATTTATACACACGGTACGATTTGCATTCAGAACCGATTTTACATAAAATACCATTACTGAATGATTTTCATGACATTCATTTTTTAAGGTTTCTTCCAATGGTTAAAAGAAAAAAAAGACATCAAATTGACTTCTTTTGTGTTGTTCTTGCTGGTTGCATGCAACAACAAACATACAGCACAACCAGTATAGTCTGATTCCCAAATGAATGAATCATACAAACCGGTTCTTTTAATTAATTTGTCTAAAAGAATCATGAATCAGTCTTGAAAACATGTCAATCACTCAATCGGTCCATACTATGTCTAACTCAAAATTACCTACCTTAAAGGAATTATTCCCTCAAAGTGCTAGAAGAGTCAGTAAATAAATGATTGAGGAACCAGAATTGTTGAATTTCTTGAGATTCCCATCTCTTAGTACAGCTCTTTTCTGATCACTTTCTTCATTGTATTGTCCACTAGGTTCCACCAGGTCCACCTGTGCTTCAGGGAACTATTGGAGCTCCTGGACCTGCTGTACGTCTTGACTACACATCCAGAATCATTTCACATCTACTATTTCTGTCATTTCGAATTTAATGAAATGCATTGCGACTCTGACTTATGCCTATTTCAGGGAGCTGATGGTGAACCAGGTCCTCGTGGACAGCAGGGTATGTTTGGACAGAAGGGAGATGAAGGATCCCGAGGCTTTCCTGGACCTCCCGGTCCCATCGGTCTGCAGGTGAGTGCCAATGATGGCCCAAATATGAGCTAACATTTTTATTTTGTGTAGAACTGAGTTCCCAGTCCCATGGTAACTCAGACTAATGCTGCACAAACAACATTAACTGGTGGCCCTGGGCAGTAGATGCACTGGGAGGTGTTTGAGATGTGAATTGATTTCCTTTTGATTCCCCCTCTGCTGGAATCGCCCTGTGAATAAGTACAGACTCAGTACAGACATGCATGAGCAGGGCCCATTGCATTAACAGTTTCAATTTTGATTTGCTGGTGGTAATAATTACTACCAATTTATTTATGCTACTAATTGGCTAATTTATTCAAAGTAGAAAATATTTTGTTGTGCAATATCAAATAAAATATACAGCAGTTCTCAATTTTGTCTCGTCAAAGGCAATTTAAATATATTGAGTTCTGGCATGAAACTCTAGATCAGGGCTGTCCAAACTCGGTCCTGGAGGGCCGGTGTCCTGCAGAGTTTATCTCCAACTTGCCTCAACACACCTGACCAAAAGTTTCTATGCCTAGTAAGAGCTTGATTAGCTGGTTCAGGTGTGTTTAATTAGGGTTGGAGCTAAACTCTTCAGGACACCGGCCCTCCAGGACTGAGTTTGGACAGCCCTGCTCTAGATGGTGCAGTCTGATAGGTCTCAATCTCAGTCTGACCTAATGACATCATTATCACATGGCACAGCTGATTGGTTCTCTCCTGTATCAGTAGCCAATGAGCTCGCTGCTCAACATTCAAATATATGATTAGTGCTTGCAGTAACAGTTGCAGTGTGCTTCAGAAACCCTCCACCTTCCCCAGCTCCACCTGTATAGATCTGCTACAAGATGATTCATGTACGCTATATGGGGGTTATTTCATATATCTTATATTTGCAGCAGCAATATTTCTTACATGCTCACAGCAGCATGTTGTGGATGTATTGGCAATAACAAGTCTTGGTACTTGCTCTGCTGCAGAAGCAGCAGCGTAACAGATCTATTCCACCAAGACCAAATACATTAACATTGTCATGTACACTACCATGCCAATCCCTGCGAGAAATATATTTATGCAATCAAATATATTCAAAAATATATATTTAGTTACCATTATTGACTGATAAATCTAACATTAAATAATCTGGCATTATTCCTATTCACCAATTAAAAAAATATTGCATGTTATGTCAGTGCCGATAGCCTCGTGGCCAGTGCGCTGACATACTGGTATCCTGAGTTTGAGTCTCGGCTCGCGGACCTTTCCTGATCCCGTCCCCCTCTCTCTCTACATACTGTCGCTATAAAGGCTATAAAATGCCAAAAAATAAATCTTTAAAATATTGCATATTACTCCACAGCTTCACCATTTTTGACAAATTGGAACAAACATGTTCAGACCTCATATGCATTTTTTTTAAATAGGAGAGTGTGAGTTCTCCCTGTGTTAAAAGCATATATACAGTAACATTTTGTAATGTTTTTTAAAGTGGTCTTTTATGCTCACCATGTTACAATTATTTCATTAAAATACGGTAATATTATTATGATTTAAAATAAATGTATTCTCTTTTAATATATTTTAAAATATAATTTATGCCTGAGATAGCAAAGCTGAATTTATACTGTTTTATTTTAATTATAAAATTATTATAAAAATATTATTTTATAATAATGAACCATACAAATCATGAACCATATGTATGAACCATACAAATCAGCATTCATATCATGTTTGATTGGTGAACACTGTATTTGTAGAAGATTTATATTAATCATCTTATCTCTCTTTTAATTTGATCATATTATGATTGGAAGCCTCAAGGTTCTGCCATTTCTCTATCCATCAATTAGCTGATTCCTCTGAAGGCGAGTCATCACTGTAATGGAGTAACATCGACTGCTCCTGTAGTCCTCTTATGCCACCAAATCTTGGAGCCATTTGATTCAATTGAGTTTTAATTGGGCGTAATGCACTTCCATTTGGATTTTATTAATTGCATTTAGTGACCCAGTCCAATAGACATTAGAGCAGTGCACACACACCCTTCAGGCTGTAATGAGTGTTTATGTTAATGGTCTCTGAATAAGGGCTTCTGCCCCGATGAGATCTCTTACCAGCACGAGAATCAGTCAGTGAGAATGTGTTGGTCTGCCAAGTCTGCAGGGCACGTGGGTATTGGGCGAGTAAATATCAGACAAAATTAGACTTTAGATGTCCTCACTCCTGACATGTTACAGCTAGCGAAGAAACACCTTTGAATGAGCAGCCCCTGAAGTCAAGGCAATTAGGGAGTAAATGTCAAGGATCAAACATGCATGATACAGGGGTCACATGTCTAGCTTGTTTATTCGCCTGCGCAGTTGTGTTTTACCAGAGGTCTCTGATGATATAGTGTTTTGCACTTCGTTAAAACACAAATGCTTCCCTGGTTACTCTAACTGATGGATGTTTCTCCTTTTCTGCTGGGTAAAACATTTAATTGGCCATTAATTAGGCTGAAAAACGCCATGAATTTTTCAGCTAGCCCCTTAGCAGAGAGCAGCATCAAATAAAATGTTGCTGCACACTGCTGCCCGTCTAAATTCTTTTTGGTGGCCCATTTATTCCCACAGTGTTCTGGATTTAAAATGTGTTTCTCTTAAGTCCTAGGTGCATTTTTAGGGAGTAATAGTGGTTTGATGCGGGACGTGTCCTTCCTTAAATGTTCAAATGAAACTTGTGTTTAATATATATGCAATATATTTGGTAAATGTGCATGGATGACTTTCTGTGCTGGGTAAAATAGCTTTCATATTCTGCTTAATGTTGAAAGTCCTCTATGTTTTTCACCCCTCGCCATTTGCCACCTATGAAAAGGTGACAAACAATATAGTGTTCACATTGAACATGAGCTAAAAATCTGACAAAGTATATTTGCTGCTCTCTTAGATTTCAAGATGACAGACAGTGAAACTCAATAAACACTCCCGTAGTCCGCCTCTGCCTCTTCCATTTGCCATATGGCCCTATTGCCTTTCTCCGCCAATTCTGAAATGAAGCATTATTGCTGTCCTCCAGTAACTGCATCTGAGCCAGATTATTCTTCTCTTTTCATCAGAGGGCCCATTTTGGTGCCTCACGGCAACAGTGTGTCTTTGAACATTTCTTTGCACGGTTGCTGATGCCAGTGTACTATAGTATCTAAAAATATGGACATTTATATTATTATAAATGCACATAAATACAAGAATATTCATTTGTTTCTTACAGGGTCTTCCTGGACCACCTGGTGAGAAAGGAGAAAATGGAGACGTTGGTCCTATGGTAAGATGTTTTAACCAATTATTAACTATAGTTGTTATTTTTTATTTATTTATTTTTTTTAACTGCCTTTGACATGACTTATAATTTAAATATGAAATACATGAATACAGGAAAGAAAATAGTTCTAATCAAGCCTTTAAGGGTTCTGTTTATTCCTGTTTTATTTTGCTTTTAATTTTATTTTGCCTTTATATATTTATTTTATATTAATTAATTTTTATTTTATTAATGTTTTAACCTATACAACTATTAGTAAAGTCTCAATTGTCTCTCTTCTTGTTTCACCACAGGGTCCCCCTGGCCCACCTGGTCCCAGAGGTCCTCAAGGTCCTGCTGGTGCTGATGTAAGACCATCTCTCAACATTGAACATTTTTCCCATCAGCAAATCCATTAAATTACACCTCTTTAACCAAATGGTTATAGAGTTAATGGTTTTCACGCATGCCTCTTCACAAATCGACTTATTTTATTGAAGGGTCCACAAGGTCCTCCTGGTGGAATAGGAGGAATGGGATCTGTGGGTGAGAAGGTAAGAATATTCGCAGCTCCAGTGTTTATTCCCAGAAATATGGTGTCTATGGTCTTGTTTCAAATCTCTGTTACAGACTTCATTAATTTATTATTCGTGTCATCCTTTTGTCTGAATTAGTATAACAAAACGATTAATGCCTACATTACCGCAGTTCTGATAATAGCCCTACATTTCACTGCTATTTGGCAGGTCCACAGGCCATCAATATTTAATGCTGAGGCTGGCTATGGAGATGAATTTAGAATATGTAACAGGTCACTATAATGCTCCTAATCCATTAGGAGCTGAATGTTATGTCCACTATAGCCCAGACCAGCTAAGCTAAGAAACAACCAGTAAACAACATGCAGCTTTATTTAGATACGACTACATATGATTCATTCCATTAGAGTCTACTTGACATCTCTGATTTTCAATCATAAGGGAAAGCAACAAAATGACAGTGCTACAAATTGTCTAAAGTTGAAGAAACTAGAGTTAAATTTGAAATTTCCAAATGGAAGTTCAACTTTAACTTCAGTATCATTCGTTTGCACTTTGCCTAGTAGAAAGCTGGAAATTCTGGCTTTTCGAGTCGAATGGAACATTGTTAACATTATACAGCACAATTATATGGTGTTGTGCAATACGTTATAACTAGTAATATCCTTAACAGGGTGAGCAAGGAGAAGCTGGAAACCCTGGACCTCCTGGCGAGCCTGGACCTGGGGTAAGTGAAGTTTTCAAGAGAGATCTGTGTGGTGATGCGGGTAATCACTTCCTGTAAGCTTCTCTGGATTTACTGATTCTCAAATTAAGCGGCCACACTAAGTGAGTCGCTAAATTGCAGGAATGATTCCAATAAAGATCTTTCCTCTCATCATATAATGAAATGCTTAATACAGTGACATTTGAAATAAAATATTGCTCGCACTGTTGTCTGTTTACTTTATATCATGAAAAATCTAATTTCCCTTGAACTTTTAGAATAAAGGTGTGTTGTAAAAAAAAATATATACTGTAACTCAAAATGTCCATTTATAGATAGTAAACAGCAGCTTAATTTCTTGGATTTCTGACACCAGAAATATGTTTGCACTTTGCCTAGTAGAAAGCTGGAAATTCTGGCTTTTCGAGTCGAATGGAACATTGTTAACATTATACAGCACAATTATATGGTGTTGTGCAATACGTTATAACTAGTAATATCCTTAACAGGGTGAGCAAGGAGAAGCTGGAAACCCTGGACCTCCTGGCGAGCCTGGACCTGGGGTAAGTGAAGTTTTCAAGAGAGATCTGTGTGGTGATGCGGGTAATCACTTCCTGTAAGCTTCTCTGGATTTACTGATTCTCAAATTAAGCGGCCACACTAAGTGAGTCGCTAAATTGCAGGAATGATTCCAGTAAAGATCTTTCCTCTCATCATATAATGAAATGCTTAATACAGTGACATTTGAAATAAAATATTGCTCGCACTGTTGTCTGTTTACTTTATATCATGAAAAATCTAATTTCCCTTGAACTTTTAGAATAAAGGTGTGTTGTAAAAAAATATATATACTGTAACTCAAAATGTCCATTTATAGATAGTAAACAGCAGCTTAATTTCTTGGATTTCTGACACCAGAAATACCTTGAGTAACATTACAAGTGGACATCAGTGGAAAAAATCAGATGATTAAAGCAAAAAAGTTAACTTTGTTATTTATGGAATATCTAAATTACAGATGGAAAGTCAGCCTGTCAAAATTCTAACCTGTCAATACTGACATGAATGGCTGATTAACTCTTTTGGATTGCTATATCAAAATGTAGAGCATGGCTGCACTCGTTCTCAGGGTGCTTTTGTTCATGGAGTGCCTCAGGGCTCTTTATTCGGCCCTTTCATCTTTGTTGTATGTGCTGCAGGGCCCAAAAGGTGAGAGAGGAGATAAAGGTGAAGCTGGTCCCCCTGGTGCTGCTGGACCTGCAGGTCCCAAAGGACCCCCTGGAGATGATGGACCCAAGGGTAATCCTGTAAGTGTAATACAGCTGGCATGAGATCTTATGAATGTATAAAGGCATGAAATGTTAGAAGCCTCTACAACAGTGAGGTGAGCCTTACTGGTAAAAAAAATCTATTTTAGATGGATTATGCTGATTAAATAAGAGAAGTGAGAAGTGAAGTGAAGTGTGGCCAATTATGGTGACCCATATTCGGAATTTGTGCTCTGCATTACACCCATCCAAGTGCACACACATAGTAGTGAACACACACTCGGAGCAGTGGGCAGCCATATTGCTGCGGCACCCGGGGAGCAGTTGGGGGTTCGGTGCCTTGCTCAAGGGTCTCACCTCAGTTGTGGTATTGAAGGTGGAAGAGAGCGCTGTACATTCACTCCCTCCACTGACAATTCCTGCCGGACCTGAGACTCAAACCCTCAACCTTCGGGTTACAAGTCCGACTCTCTAACCATTAGGTCACGACTGCCCCACATTTGAGACTTACTCCACTAATTAGAAATTATTAAAGCATTATGTGTCTAAGATGAATAAAAGATAGTAATTCAATTGAAATGTTACCGTGCCTCCAACTGATCAATTTAGTTTTGTATGTCCTAATATTTGTTAAGGACATTAAGTACATACAGTAATATAATTTAGTGTTTATGTTATTGACACATCACTCTGTTAAACCCGTGTTTTCAATCTGTTACTATAGGGCCCTGTTGGTTTTCCTGGAGACCCAGGTCCACCCGGTGAGCCAGGTGTTGCTGTAAGTGCCACAATTCATCACTAAAAGTCCTGTAAATTATTATTATTTTTATTTTAAAAAATGGTATGTTTCATGTTCTGTATTTACTATTGACTTTGAATGATTAAAAAGTCTTTGCAGTGTAAATAGTCAGCAAGACGTTTGCTTGTTTTTTCAATTGTCAATTTATTTGTCTCTGAAATTTTGTCTATTAAATTATCAGGGAATAGATGGAGGCCCAGGAGAAAAAGGCGAGGATGGAGAGTCTGGTCAACCTGTAAGTTTTAACAATATTTAGGTGCAATACCTTTGACTATAGTTTATTAAAAAGTTACTTTTTCAATTATTTGTTTGTCTTCCAATACAATTTCCTGCTGTATGCATTAAATTGCAGAGCATTGTTTTTGCCTCTAGTGTAAGTATATATACAGTACAGATAGAATAATAAACTGTTGTTTGATATACGGAAGTCAAACATAATTGCCTAAGCCTACAGTGGCAGCCAATATTTTTTTTTTCCGGAAGGAAAAAGTAAACTTTTCCATTTAGATTGTATTGAGGTGTTTCTCACTGCACTCTATCAAACCAGCAAGTGAAATATTATTATTTCCTCTTGTCTTGTGATATCAATTTTGCTGCATTTACACTGAACTTGCAGTAGACCCTTTGTAATCTTGATGCACAAAGTCATATAATCTAATAATTTTACATTTATTTAGCACATTTTAATGTGGAAAGCACAATGAAACATTTAACTTAAAGTTCTTATCCTTAGTTTTACTTGAAGTTAACCTATTTTATGTAATTGGCAATGGTTGATTGACAGGTAAGTAGGCAGTCCTTGCCATGGTCACATTTAAGACCTTGTATCTATTTAGTGTACCAATTTTGACCAGATCAAACCAGGTGTAAATAACTGCTGTACCCCCATGGTAGTACTTTGGAGTCTCTAGGGGTCACAGATCCTCTGGTAAAGACTCTTACTATATGGCAAACAGCCCTGGTTGAATTGTATTGGCCAGCCCAAGCAACACTGTGCTATCCCATTATTCCTCTATAAAGCTTAATGGCATCTCTTTGAACACACACATCCATTATTCATGCAAAATGTAGAGAAAACACCACTCGCTTTCCCAATATGCTTAATGGAGCTCTCTCTGGAAAAATTATACACCCTATCAGCATACGCGGATAGCAATGGCTGACGGACTGTAGCTAGAGAAACTGCCATTTCATCAGCAAAGGTGTTTTAATCCTGCAAGAGGAAGACTCATCTTGTAGAATTAAGTCTCCTGCATCAATAATTCCGGCTAGAGCTTATTTTGCATCGAACACATAGACATTCTGCTTTCTCAGCATTTTACCGACCGTGGTTCGAAATAAATATGGAGATTCCTTTGCTTATTCTCTCTCTGTTTGTTTCTTGCACTCTGTTCAGTCTTGGACCCTAGAGACAGTCCCTAGACTATTAACTATCTTGAGAATTATTGAATTTGGTGAATCTTCCTGCTGTCATTAGTTGATTTTTTTCCTGCTCTTCATTAAATTAAAATCACACAGGGGAGTCGAGGGCAAATTGTCAAGCAGGTTTTATCTCAGTAACTATGTGCAGTATAAAGTCAAAAGTCCAATTAAACAAATGTATATTTTCTCTAGCAGTGGTTTTGTATGCTAGTTTCACACATCGAGTTCAAAACCGAGTTATTTTTTAATCATCCAACTAAAATGTGAATATTTTTCCAACCCTGTTAGGTAAACACTATCAAACCATGCTGACATTAAACAAGGTTCATATATATATATATATATATATATATATATATAGTATATATAGGTATAAGGTATATTTGAAAATATAGGAAAGTTTTTTGCCAAATAAAAGAAAGTTTTTGCCAGGGCAAGGGCATTTTTCATAGATGTCAGGCTGGGACAAGCAGTCACATTTTATGTAGTAGAAATCCATATTTCTGTACATTAACTTAATTATTTTTGTTGTTTCATTAATTGTTTATATTTTTTTCCTGGATATAATGGTAGAAATGTTCAATAGCCAGTACTTTAAGGAAAATGTTTTTGTAGCCAACGCTCTAAGGAAATATTCACTAAAAATGTGAAAATGTGACAACTAGCCCCGGTCACGTTTATAACCATACGATTATGAATGAGTATATGTTCACACAAAAAACATTCAAGTGGATCCATTTGCCCATTAATAGCCATCAAGCAAGATCCCCGAAGTGCTACCGTGATGTCTCACCATGACCTTTTTCCCATTTGGTTTATAGCCCAGCAGAGAAAAAAATCTCAAATAAAACGTAATTTTCTCTGTCCGCAGGGACCCCCGGGGGCTTCTGGAGCTGAAGGTAGACAAGGAGAGAAGGGCGCCAAGGTAACGCATCATTCCAAATCAATTCAACCCAGGCACATACTGCAGCCTCCACTGCCGTAATTAACGCACAGCGAGCCATGGGAGAAAAAGCACATCTCTTGACAGAGTGACTCACTGTTAATAAGTGACTGTCACTGTGGGACTGAAGTGTGTAGGCTGTATTTTAGCTTTAGTTCATCAACTTAACCCTTATAACCTAAATTGCGTATTTGAAGCATGCCGAGAGTTTTTAATGTTTCTCACCTTTAATTAGTCATTTATATAATATAATATAAATATATAATAATGTTTAAAAGGTACACTACCGTTCAAAAATTTATTCATTTTCAAGGTTCATTTATTTGATCAAAAATGCAGTAAAAACAGTAATATTGTGAAGTAGTATTATAATGATATATAACTGTTTTCTATTTTAATATATTGTAAAATGTAATTTATTTGTGTGATGGCAAAGCTGAATTTTCAGCATCATTACTCTAGTCTTCTGTGTCACATGATCCTTCAGAAATCATTCTAATATGCTGATTTGATGCTCAAGATTTATTTTTACTTTTTAATTTTTTTTATCAGTGTTGAAAACAGTTGTGCTGCTTAATAGTTTTGTAGAAACCATGATACATTTTATTTCCAGGAGTGATAGATATATATAGCTAAATAATAAATATGTTTTTGATAAATAGAATAAATTTTGATAAATAGAAAAAATGTGCATACATTTGATAAATAGAAATTTAAATAGAAAAGAACAGCATTTATCTGGAAAAGCGTACAAACTTTTTGTTATATAACAATGTCACTTTTGATCAATTTAATTCATCCTTGCTGAATAGAAGTATTAAATTCTTTGAAAAACAAATCATATTGACACTAAAACTTTCAATGGTTGTGTGTACCTTATATTGTTTATTTATTTATTTTTAAATAAAAGTTTTCTTCCTGTAACAGTGATATTTCAGTGGACATTGCATGCCAACTTTATGCATCAAAAAATCTAAATATTATCTATATTCCTCTCTTCTCTTTAGGGTGAGGCAGGAGCTGAGGGTCCACCAGGTAAAACTGGACCAGTTGGCCCTCAAGGCCCTCCTGGAAAGCCTGGTCCTGAGGGTCTACGTGGAATCCCTGGTCCTGTGGTGGGTTCTCATGTCACTCATCGACTAACTATACATCATATTATATATACATATTTACAGTGGCCCCAAATAGTATTAGGACACTTAAGATGCACTTGAAGTACTGTGAATTTAATATTATAAATATATAAGTGGTGTCTGCAAATATATGATGTTTAATCTTTTCTTTAAACTTTCTCATGCTCATGAATATTAATTATGTAACATGGCATTTTCCCAATAATTCTAACTGATTACTACTCACCACTGCCAATGCTAGCTAGCAGCTTTTGTGTGGTCTTAAAGTTGTCAGTGTACAAGGTCAGCTATAATTCTTTTCTTTGCACTGCGGACAAGCAATGCAATGGAATTCATGCATTTTTAAGTGTGGCTTAAGTACTCAAATAATTTGTCTGGCCACTGAATAGCCTAAATGCACACACACACACACACACACACACACACACACACGAGAACAGAATTATATGAAACACCTCACAGAATAATAAATCACCTCTCTTTGAGTTTACAATCTGTATCTTTCTCTTGTACACTCTGTGTCTGTTTCTTGTCTATTTGAAAACAGGTTTTGTAGTATCTGGGCTATTAATCATTGTCCAGCCCACAGTAAATCAATGCCAGACCATAAGCAAAAAACAGTGCAATAATGGCTGTTGTAATTGGATGGATTTTCACAGGGTGAACAAGGACTTCCTGGTGCTCCTGGACAAGACGGCCCACCTGGACCAATGGTAAGAAGAGAGACCCCATTGCCCTTGCTCGTTCTGTCTATCTTTCACCCTCTCTCTCCTTGCTGTGTGTTCGTGTACATGTGGGTATATGTGAGCAAATTAAATTTTCACTGTTGGTTCTTTGATATTTAGGGACCTCCTGGTCTCCCCGGCCTGAAAGGAGACCCTGGCTCTAAGGGTGAGAAGGTGAGTGACATTCTATTTCTTTTCCTGCCATTTTTATTAATGTGGTGTCTTACATTTCAGAGAGGCTCAAGGTCAAAGATAAAGACTAGACTTGGTCACTCCAGGAAGTCAGAGGAAAAGTTTCACAGCCAGGGGAAAAGTTAAAAGTCTATTATCGTCTTTTAGTGCCACAAGTTTGGCAACATGTTTTATTTTATTTCTTTATTTCTGTCTGTCTATCTACTCATTTTATTTTTTACATTTTAGTTTTTTGTCTTTATTAATTTTTTTTTTTTTTTAAGTTTTGGAGAGGGTTTTTTACATTTAACTTTTTTATTTATTTTAATCTTTAGCATTTTATTTTTCTGATTTTTTTTTTCATATTTAGCCATGAAAATATATATTTATTCATATAATGTAAATAATAAATCATATAGTTTTTCAGCTTTTACTTCAGTTATTTTAGTTTTTTTTTCATACTTAGCCATAAAAATGTATTTATAATGTATATAGTCTTTGATTGTTGGTATCAGGCTTTGTGCTCATAAAAACATTGTTGTTTGTACATATTGCATAAAAGTTGACCATCAACTGATCTTCTGATCTGTGATATCCACCATCATATGCATTTTTCTTCCAGGGTCACCCCGGTCTTATTGGTCTCATTGGACCCCCCGGTGAGCAGGGAGAGAAGGGAGATCGGGGTTTGCCTGGTCCTCAGGGCGCTGCTGGCAGCAAGGGTGATAATGTGAGTCACTAATGATTTATTTGTCCTTTCCACCCCACCACACAAAAAAATTTTGTACCTCCAGCAGCGCACCTATCAGGACTTCTCCTGTAATGCTTGCAAATTAAAGTAACGACCGACTGAAACAATAACGTCTGCGCTTATTGCATCTGTGTACATCATCATAATTGTGTTATGGATGAAGCTGTCATGAAAGGTTCTCAGAGCCAGAGGTAATTCTGTTACACCAGACATTCCCATCAAACACCAGTGCGAAATGTGAAATGTTTATGTTTCTTTGCCTCGTTGAGGAACCATACAACACCTACTTAATGCAGTCAAACGCTTCAGCAAATCTATAGAAAACCTTCATTGAATAAACAATTAGAAATTGCATTGGACTCATCTGGCCCTTTTTTCAGTGGTTTAAAGCAATGCAACTTTAAACATATTCTGATTAAGCTTAATGAAATTGTAGTCTCCCCTTATGCGAGTTCGGAAAAACTAAAAATTTAAACCGATCCTATCTCACTAATGTCTCCCACTAGACAGATTTGCGATCTGTTACTGCATTTAGTAACAGAGGATGCATTTCTCCCCAAAGAATGAACTCAGAAGTCCTTGACTCTAATGAAATGTAATGTCAGTGTGTAATACACACCAGAGAATCATAATTAACAAGAGTAATTTTCATCTCTGTGACAAAAGAATCGTAATTTTAAAGACAATTCTTGGAAAGAAAATGAATCTCATCACCTCACAGTTGTTAAAAGTTAACCAACATCTTACATGCTTGTTTTATAGATCCATTTACAAATCAATAATATGAAGTTCTACTTTCTAACCTTCTGCTCTTTAAACTGTAGGGTATCAGTGGTGCTTCTGGTCCGATTGGTCCGTCTGGTCCTCCTGGATTGCCTGTGAGTCTTTGCTCTGTTGCTAGCATCTTGCATTCAGTGTTGTGCTATCGTCAAATTGTACACTTTCTGAAATTGTCACATGATCTATTTATAACATTAAAATATTTTTTTAAGAGCTATTAGATATGTTTAACAACTAACCATGATCTTACATAAAATTATAAGACAGCATGCAAAGGAATGAGTTTTTACATCAGATTATTCTTAAAATTGTAATTTTGGACTGTCCCACCTCAGCAGTCTTGCCAGTATTGACTGTATTCATCATTAAAATTTATACAAGTTATACAAATTAATACAAATCATAATATCAATCAAAAGTCTGGCATCAGTAAAGTTTTTTTTAACAAATTAATATTTTTATTTACCATGGACAAATTAAATTGATTAAAAGTGACTGTAAAGACATATATAATTTTACAAAAGATTATATTTCAAATAAATGCTGTTATTTTGAACTTTCTATTCATCAAGAAATCCTTAAAATAATTAGAGTGATTTCTGAAGGATCATGTGGCACTGGAGTAGTGTCTGATGAAAATTCAGCTTTGTAATCACAGTAATAAAATAAATATTATTTAAAATATATTTAAATAGAAAACAGTTATTTTAAATTGCAATAATATTTAACAATTTGACTGTATTTTTGAAAAAATAAATGCAGACTTGGTGAGCATAAGAGACTTCTTCCAAAAACATTTAAAAATCATAAAGACTCCAAACTTTTGGACGGTAGTGGGAATTTATATTAATTTCATTTTGGAACAATTAGAACGATTTAAATAAAGTAAATTCTACAATTTCAAATTTGTAATTTTAACTATTTGGCAGGCTCAACTTTTAATACATGTACAATTTGTAAGTCAGTGTTCATAAAATGCATTTCCATTTTCCTTTAGGGTCCACAAGGGCCAAAGGGATCCAAGGGTTCGTCTGTAAGTACCACTTTATCACTAATCAATTCGGTGGGTTACTTATAATGACGTTAGAAATGGACTTATGGTTTTCAAATCTTCTTCCCGCAGGGTCCCGCTGGTCAAAAGGGAGACACCGGCTCGGCCGGACCACCTGGTCCTCCTGTAAGTGAACTTCTGCTTGCTTCAAAGCGATTTTAATTATATAAAATGCAAGAGGCTCATGGAGCGTACACTCATTTTCTCATTCCGTAGGGTCCTCCTGGTGAGATCATCCAGCCTCTGCCTATCCAGATGCCCAAGAAGTCCCGTCGCTCCATCGACATGCAAGCGGACGAGGCCGGCACCATGCTGGACTACGGAGGGGGCATGGAAGACATCTTCAGCTCCTTGAATAACCTCAAACAGGACATCGAGCGCATGAAGTACCCCATGGGCACGCAAAACAACCCCACACGAAGCTGTAAAGACCTACAGCTTGCTCACCCAGAATTCTCAGATGGTAAGCAAATGAGGTGGGGGGTAAAGGAGACACAGTTGAACAGATAAATATGGAAAACATGCAGCGTTTGCTGGTTTCCAAGCTACTCAGGAGGTATTGGCTGTGTTTCTAAAATTCTAAGCCCGCCACTCAGAAGAAATTCTCAGATGGTAAGCAAATGAGGTGGGGGGTAAAGGAGACACCGTTGAACAGATAAATATGGAAAACATGCAGCGTTTGCTGGTTTCCAAGCTACTCAGGAGGTATTGGCTGTGTTTCTAAAATTCTAAGCCCGCCACTCAGAAGAATTTGAATAACAGCAGCAGCAGTCGACAGCTGATTGGGAAGATGTTTAGCATTCTGCGGACTCCAGCGAGAGCTAACCTCTCCCTCCCAAATCATGGCTTACAAAATGCCAGATCTTACACTGACCTTTCAGAGCTGGTTTTACCGCACTCGCATTAGCCTGCTATTTTATTTACACAATGCATCGCCACTGCTGATGCCTGTGAAGTGTGTGTTTTTAGCTGTGGAAATTAATAGAAAGCCAGGATATCTTTGTATATGATCTAAATGATTTCCTACTGTACCTGTGGTCGTTCCAGACACTGATGTCTGATGGGTTTTTTTTCTCTCAGGTGAATACTACATCGATCCCAACCAGGGATGCCCCGGGGACTCCTTCAAAGTGTACTGCAACTTCACAGCAGGAGGCGAGACCTGCATCTTCCCTGATAAAAAGTCAAATGGAGTGAGTGATATTCTGGAAGAATTAGCCAATAACAGCCAGACAAGATCACAACATCTTACCTCTGTCACATACAATGGCTTTTCTCCTAAAGACCATAGGAGAGCCTGAATCAATCACTTCAGAGATGTTTTTTTTTAGCTTGATTGTTATTTATTGGAGATGTAGATCCAAACACATTGTTCCCCTTATATAGCAAAAATTGTAAATATGCACTTCTACATAGTTTATTTTTTATTTTTTAGAATTACTTGAAATGTTTTGTCTTTCCAACAGCTTATAGTGTTTATCTGTGCATTCAGATCCAAAAGATCAGGAAAAAAAGGTTCACATTAGATCAAATTTGAGTGGAAACCTTATTCTCAACATTAAAATAATTGCTTTATGGGCATAACTGCTTTTCTCATGCTGTGTTTAACAAAGCTGTGTATTTCAGTGAGATGGATTTTCATTTCGTTCCAATTGTTGGAACAGATGCTGTATGAAAAATAACTGGGTTTAATTTTATTTAATTTTCTGCTAAAGTAAATATACTGTTCATTCAAATCTATGGGCACAGCTGGTCTTTTTCTGTAATGGTTTTTTTTTTTCATGTTTTTCTTTCTGTCATCTTTAAGGTGAGGATATCTTCATGGCCCAAAGAGGTTCCTGGCTCCTGGTACAGTGAATTTAAGCGTGGCAAAATAGTAAGTGCTCTTTCTGGTTCTTCTTTCATCTTCTCCTTTATGAAAAACATCATCTTGTCCTTCTAAACTAAAAGGGCCTGAGTGGTCTGCTTGGTCTTTATTCTTTACTCAACCATTGGACAGACACCAGTAAGAGCTGAGCTTTTAAAAACTGCTGTCACTGTAGCCCTGGATCCATCAAGAAGCAGAGCACGCACACACACACACACACACCGCATTTATATTTGATGTAGTTGAGAGTTATGAAGGTGCCGCTGCACCTCTGTGAAACATGCCGGCTTTATGTTTCTGGTGTTTTCTACTTTGTCAGAAGCAATGGTTTTTCTATTATTCAGAGTTCCAACTTTACCCATTTTAAATCAATGTATTGTTGCCTTTGATTTATTTTTTTTATTCAGAGTTCCAACTTTACCAGTTTTAAATCAATTTATTGGTGCCTATGAAACCAGTGACTTGCTTTCAAGTTAATACTTCATAATTTTTCCTCATCTTTTAAGATATGATTATAATTAAGTTGCAACTTATTAACACAACAAACCTACATAAATTATATTATATTATATTATTTATATTATTAAATTAACTTAAGAAAATGCAAGATATTTAAAAAGGGAAAATAAGAGGGTATTTTTATAACTTGTAAAATTAACAAATTAAAAAAATATATAAATACATATTAAAAAATAAGAGGATATTATTGAGGTCCCCAAACAAAATAATAATAATAATAATAATTGTTAAGTTAATCGTTTGGCTTTGTGTGATGTTTTGAACATTGCTGTTGTAAAATATCCAGCTATTACTGCAGATTAATATTTTTTAATATTTTTGTAAAGAATAATTAGTGCTGAATAATAATAATAATAATAATATTTTTTTATAATAATACATTATGATAAATTAATAAATTATTATTATTATTATTATGTGTACTGTGCCACATATTTAATTTAAAAAAAACTAACATTTATACAAAAACATATTTGGTGTGCCAAGTGAAAATGCTGCTGGTGAACAAATCCTTAAATGTCGAATCCTGAAAACCTTTCTATCTAACCTTTCTAAACCATTCTAACCTTTCTATTTTTGTTTTCACCCTCAAGCTTTCATACGTGGATGCAGAAGGCAACTCAATAAACATGGTCCAAATGACGTTTCTCAAACTACTGACAGCCTCCGCCAGGCAAAACTTGACCTACAGCTGCCACCAGTCGGTCGCCTGGCACGATGCCACTACGGACAGCTATGACAGAGCACTACGCTTCCTCGGCTCCAATGACGAGGAGATCTCATATGACAACAACCCCTTCATCAAGGCCCTGTCAGATGGCTGTGCAGTGAGTCTTCAATCATAGCTTTAAATATGCGTAATTTAAATATGCAACGCACGTTTCTGACTGTCCTTTTCTTGTCCTATAGGTGAGGAAGGGCTACGGAAAGACAGTACTGGAGATTAACACTCCCAAGATCGATCAGGTTCCGATCATCGACGTGATGTTCACTGACTTTGGGGATCCCAATCAGAAATTTGGATTCGAAGTTGGTCCAGTCTGCTTCCTTGGCTAAAAAACACAGACAAAGAAAAAAAAAAACAATAACTTGGCAGGGTAGGATGGGTTAGCGCACGAGTCAAGACTTTTTTTCTTGATCTCATCAAACCATCAAGCCCCTGTTCCTGCCACATGCAAGTTTTGAATAAAAAAATGGGGTAGCGAACACGTCTTACCTTGTATGTATGTATTACCCAGGAAAATACTTGTTGCCCTTGTAGGGCAAGGCTCACATGACATGAAACCTGTTATGGAACGAAAAGGTGAAGGACAACGTCAAGCCAAGGCAATCGGTGAACCTGGGAGGTCCACGAGACGGAGAAAGGGAGGACCTCTCATCCGGAGTCTATCGGTGCAGTGCGAAAAATTACAAATAAATTAAAAGAAAAAAAAAGACGACAACAATGGTGCTTGTTCAAAATTCAAAAAAAGAGGTGCTATGAGAAAGAGGATGTATTTTAATAAAACTGTAATTATTATTTTGTACATTATTGTTGTTTCTGAATCCACTTTCAAAACTTGCATGTGTATCACAATTGCATCTGGCTTTTAATTTCCAACTCCCTCACGGACGTTTATAAGTTATAGAACTGAATAAATTAATAATTAAATAATGATATTTTGTGGATGAATACTGTGTACTTATTAAGCAAATAAAATACAGCATTCAAACAGTTCCCTATTATTAAATGTAATGTAAGTCCTTTGTATATATTGACCATCCCGAAGTCGCTCACAGTGAACACCTCAAGAGGAAGATTCAACAGCACATGCAACACAACTAATGTCGTCTCCTGTGCTTGATTTAAGTAATCTTGCCATGCATTCACATTAATTTAATTTTTGTTGGTTATTTGTTTGTTTTTAGGATTTTTTTTCTTTCAGTTGTAGATCGGTCGTATACCTCAAATCTTGAAAATAACCATACCGATGCAAGTATGGTGTGCCCTGTATATACCTTGGTTATACAGTTAAGTTTATATATTTTGGGTGGGGATTTCTCTTTTTGTTCAAAACCTTCTGTGAATGCAATGCTAAGGCCTTTTCGGTGACCCATTTTTGTAACTAAAATTAGAAATTGTTTTAAATGTGCTTTTTATGGTTCATTTCATTATTAAAAACTGGATTCCAACCAACCATGAAATTGAGGTGTGGGTTGTTTGCTTGCTTCGTCGGGTCAGACCGTTTTATTGTCTGTTCGGTATGTGCATTTGTGTGATTTTACCCGTTTACTATGGTTTAAAAAAAAAAGGTTTTAAATGACATCTGTGCCATTCATCTGACCGATACCTTCGATGTCAAAGACGCCATTTTAGTGCCAATAAGTGACCTATAATATTCCAGAATTGCATTGGTTAAAATAAATGTTTGCTAACTCATGCATAACAAGTCGTTTAATTAATTACTTCCGCGTATCATTTATCATGCATAACAGCACATTAGCAGGTCATCTGGGATGTCTGAACAGAATGAGAACAGCGTGTTTACTTTAGAAAAACTTTAATACACATTTCATACAGGTCCCTCTGGCTCCTTTCCTAATCAACTGCTGGAAGCTACACAATCTGATGGTACCTACACATGGAGTCTCATTAGGCACTGCATTTAATATGAAATCCCCGTCTCCATTTCAGCCTCTATAGTAAGAATAAACCTCTCTCTATCTGCTGTTTGATGTCTCTGTATCCTCACCGGTTAGATCAGCAATGAATTTTCTGCATTACCGGTATTATTGGACAACTCTATTCAAGCTTTCAAAGGAATGCCAATTTGATATTTTTCTTTAGGCAAAGACTTTGAGTTTGCCATTTCACCATGAGCCTTTGTGGCAGGCATTCTCTGCTTAGCATTTAAAAAGATTTTCAAAGTATATGACTCTCTGGATGGACTCCATTTGAGAAGCATCTTAGTCTCTTCAAGAACTTTTCTGCATGACAGGGCTACGGTGTTACATTTGATAACCATGACTTAAAGATTCAACATACATTAAGGGGGAGAGGCGTTTTAATTGAGCATATTCACACTCAAAACTTGTCTGGGAGGTTTGCTGCCTAATCAAAGACTGGTAACCTCTTTATAGTCTAAATAAAAGTGAAATGGTTTTCTCACAATATATGCTTAGTCAGCTTCACAAACCTAAAGCGGAGAATGCATAAAAGACCATGTGCCTGTGGGAGTGTGTTTTTGTTCTTAAACAGCATGAGAGCCAAATCAAATATCCATGTTTAAAGCTTAAAAATCAGTTCATGCTCTCTTAGTGGAGCTTGCAGGACGCTGTTCCTTCTCTGTATTATTGTTTCTGGTGGTTAGACACTGTACATCCTAAGCACACAGCCAAGACAAACAATGGAAAGCCTTTTTTTCTCCAAAAAACAATCTGGGGAGAAAACCTGAACTGAAGTGAGTGCGCTTCTTACTGATTCAGTGTTCCGGACTAAGCGAGTGTTAAGTTAACAGATCTCTGAATTGGTCATGTCCAACTCAAAATGAGACAAAACATTTTAGTAAGCGATTTTTGGCTAGACTTAGCTATAAATGTGACTTTATGTCGATAGTCTAGGCCAGGGGTGCCCAAACTCGGTCCTGGAGGTCCGGTGTCCTGCAGAGTTTAGCTCCACCTTGCCTCAACACACCTGCCTTCAAGTTTCTAGTATGCCTAGTAAGAGCTTGATTAGCTGGTCCAGGTGTGTTTAATTGGGGTTGGAGCTAAACTCTTCAGGACACCGGCCCTCCAGGACCTAGTTTGGGCACCCCTGGTCTAGGCAGACAGTGATTCAACAGAACGCTACTGTCAGATTGACACACGAATCATCCAATCATGAGAAGATGTGACTTTAAGCCCCACCCCCCCATCACCTGCATTGCTTTGCTGCGTGCATGGACACTTGAAAGATGTAGTTTGTCTAATTTGTTCCAAAAGATATACCATAGCAGAGGTGTTTGCCTGCGTTTTGTCTCCTCACGTCATCAGTAATTACCTGAGCTGTCCAACAATGAAAACGTTCAATTAATTCTCTGCATGTGTTGTCTTTTGTGGTATTATTGTGGAATGGGGGAAAAAACACCCACACATCTCTCTTCAGGGGCCGTATGGGACCTGCCTGTCTCTTCTTCGTCTCCTCAAAGGCAGATGAACAAAGATCAAACAGGCTGGCCAATGGCATTAACTTTGAATATTCAAGCTGCATGGGTACAGAGAGACGCCACGTAACTGCCAGCCCATAATTCCCTCAAAAGGAACGCTAAGCCTCAAATCATAAAACAGCCACCCATTTAAAAAATAAAAAGCAGGAGAGTTTCCATTGCTGTCAGTTAAGGCAATCCTCAAAGAGAAAAGCTGAAAGAAGTGAACCTAAAAGGTAGCTGTGCATTAAAAAGACTCTAAAGCAAACTTAACGAGACATTCAGCATAATTGGGATGTTTCATAACTACTGCAATGAGGATATGAAGCTCTATGCAGGTAATTAAATCTGGCTATTAGAAAAATGCACAAGCGGAGAGGTGTTGTAAAAGCAACACTGATTATGATGGGAAGTACAGCAGGTGGTGTATGGATTTGCAGCCATTTACAGAAATGAGCATTTAACGCCTGGTGGGCAGGTGTAATTGTACACATAACCTTCAGAACTTCATGGCCACCAACATCTCGTCGCTGGGAGAGATATAAGCTCACTGTATATAACAGTGGTTGGGCTTTATTGCTGGCACACATCTTTTCAGGCCTGACACCGGAATATACAAATTCCTTTATACTTGAGGATCTCAGAATTCTCAGACAATTTCACAAACAGTCCAAGCATGATTTCAAACCAGAGCAGAATGAAAACTAGACTATTACTAATGTAAAAGTGACCAGGGCTAGTTGTCATACTAATGTTAAGACTCTTAACATATGTTAAAAAAAAGTGTGTGTGTGTGTGTGTGTGTGTGTATGTGTGTATATATATATATATATGCATAGAGAGAGAGAGATGATTCAAAAACCCTTTAAATAATGCCTTTAAATAATTTACCTTTAAATTTAAATACCCGATGTGCTGAAAGCTTTACCATATATTTTTCAGGATCGATCTGAACACCAATCATAAAAAGAAAAAGAATAAAATGGCCACATTCTGCAACTGCTCTGCTGTTTATTGATCATGTGATTTGAGGCTGTTAAGGGTCAGGGCAGCTAATTCTCTGAGACTGCGAGTGTGCGTGGGAGGAGTGGGGAGACCAGCCAATGGTTTTCGTTTAGTGGGGGAAGACTTGCTAATCTCCTTCACCTGCCCCGTGTTCTCATGTGGACAACGAATGAGTTTAATGGGTGGAAAATTGTTCATTATGGCAGAGACATCAACTAATGAGCGGTTACTGCTCACAAGCGTCATTAAGATCCAAAGACAGCATCTGATCTTTGAACTACACTGTAATCACAGCTTTTGTGTACAGCTTAGAGTGTCTGATAGCAGTGGTGTAAATGTTTGGCTACTTCCTGTGATGTCCTGCACCCAAGGGCCTAAAAAAACACGAAAACACACACAATTATGTCAAAATGCTCAGTTACCTTGTAAACGTAGTCTTAAATGAGTTATAAAGTCTTAAATGACTGTTAAGAGTTGGGAGAAAATCGGATGCGTGTCATATGCATCAGGTTTTAAAGAGACAGCGCTGATTTTAAAGTGAAACCTGCTGAAGTCTGTCAGTTGATGTAAATCAAAGAACAAAAGAAAAAGAGAAATCCTTGGACTGTTCTAGTCGCTGATTAACTTTTATAGCTTGAATAAAGATTAATATGTATAGTTTATGCATATATAATATAGTTTATGTGAAGATTGTTTTAAAGTCACTTAAAAAAGTTATATATTTCAGAGCCTATTAAATGTTAAAAAATAATGGCTTTCAATTATACTGTAATGTTGAATGGCTATAATTAAAATTAAAATTAAATTAAGGGAAAATGCACCAGCAGGACAAATTAAAAAATATTGTAAAAATATTAGTCATTGCAGTAGTAATAACTGCCTGTTTTTGCAAAAAGAGTTTCATGGCTGGTAAAAACTATTTTGGCTGGTAAATTTTATCATGTCAGCGGCCATTGGCAGATGTGGCAAAAAGTTAGTTTTAGGCCCTGCCTGCACCTATTATTTTTGAGGAAAGAACAGTCCTGGTTTGATGCTATGTGCACAATTTTAAAACATTTGTAAAAACATTTTTTAAATAGTTACAGTTTTAAACAAACAAACAATAAATAAATAAAACAAAATTGCAGTTGAGCTTAAGTGTAAAGAAGATTGTGATGTAAAATATATACCTTGAATACAATGTAAGTCGCTATGGATAAAAGCTCTAAAATGCGTAAATGTAAATATGATACTTCTCTC